ATACTGACTATCTTCTGAGGCACGCCATAGTGTCGAAGAAGCTTCCATAGTGTTGTTCTGTCCACGCTATCAAATGCTTTTTCGTAGTCAATGAAGTTGATGTAGAGTGATGAATTCCATTCAATTGATTGTTCCACAACGATCCATAGAGTTGCTATTTGGTCTGTACACGATCTATCTTTACGGAATCCTGCCTGTTGGTCACGAAGTTGGGGGTCTACGGAATACATCCTTCTGCTTAACAACACTATGTAAAAGACTTTATCTGGTATTGAGAGGAGAATGATGCCCCTGTAGTTATCACACTTGCTGAGATCTCCCTTCTTCGGTATTTTGGTCAGAAGTCCTTCTTTCCAATCTGTTTGTACTTGTTTCTCATCCCAAATCTTATTGAAGAGAATGTGGAGTATCCTTGCAGTTACTGCCACGTCTGCTTTTAGTGCCTCTGCCGGAATGTTGTCTGGTCCTGCTCTTTTACCTCTCTTGATTTGTCTGATGATGATGATAATTTCTTCAATTGTTGGTGGGCCAACATTGATTGGGAGGTCCGTGGGTACTGTTTCGATTTTGATTGGATTCAGTGGAGCTGGTCGATTCAAGGGTTCTTTGAAGTGTTCTGCCCACCTGTTTCGTTGTTGTTTGATGTTGGTGATTACTTTACTGGCCTTGCTTTACACTGGTAGTTCTGGTTTACGGTGATTTCCAGAGATTTTTTTTGTTGTGTCATAGAGTTGCCTATTGTTTCCTTCTTTTGCAACCTTTTCCGCCGTCATTCCTAAATCTCCCACGTATTTGCTTTCGTCAGTTCTGATGCTCCTCTTCATTTGCTCGTTTACTTCTGTGTATTCAGCTTGTGCCTTGGCTTTTTCTGCTCTTGTTCGACTGGTATTGATTGCTGCTTCCTTGTTCCTTCTTTCTTGAATCTTATCCAGTGTATCAACAGTGATCCATTCCTTGTGATAGTGATTCTTGTGGCCCAGAAACTCATGTCATGTTGAAGAGATTGCCTCTTTTATCCCTTCCCAGTTGCTCTGTAATGTAGTTCCTTTCTCACTGAGTAGATCATGAAGGGCCTGGCACTTATTGCTGAAGCCTATCTTGAATTTGTTGAGTTTGTCAGTATCCCAAAGAAAAGCCGTAATAAAGTTTTGTGTTGTTGTCCGCCCCGTTGTCCAGTGCTTCTTGAGTTTCAATTTCATCTTGGCGACCAGCAAGTGATGGTCTGATGTTATATCAGCTCTTCTCTTGGTTCTCATGTCCTACATCGTCCTCCTGAACTTTTTTTAAATGTAGATATGGTCGATTTGGTTTAGTGTAGTGTGATCCGGTGATGTCCATGTGGCTTTATGAATGCGTTTATGTGAGAATATAGTGCCGCTGATGATCAGTTTATTGAAGGCACATAGGTTTGCAAATACCTCTTGTTCCTTTCTCTCAGTCCGTGTCGTCCCATGACGTCTTCATATACAGTGTTGTCCATTCCAACCTTGGCATTGAAATCTCCCATCAGAATAGTCAGGTCCTTTGTTGGGCACTTCTTGACGATTGACTGCGGCCTATCGTAGAATTTATCATTAGCGTCTTCATTGTAATCGTTAGTAGGCGCATGGCATTGGATGACGTTCACTGAAACGCACTCTGTCTTTTCTTTGAAGGAGGCTTTCTTGATCCACGAGATCCCCATCATATAAGTGCATTTTGTGCTTGTTTGAACAGCATCAATGCAACTGATTGTGTATGTGGGGAATTTTTTTCATGACGAGAGTATGACAGAGGCTCTCCTGAAGCTAGTTGTTGTTGTTCAAGTTGCGTCCAATGTGTTTCACTGATCCCAAGCAACTCCAGGTTGTATCTCCTCATTTCTGCAGCAATTTGGAAGACTCTTCTAGTCTCTTACGATGTACGAGCATTACATGTACCTAAATAAATGGTTGTTCTGGTTGTTAGAAGGGCATCAGGCTCGTGGCTTTCGAAGGAACCTGACTCTCATCATGAGGCATCATAACTCTTGTAAATGAAGACCTTCTGACTCCCAGGGCAGAGTTTGAGTGGTTTGAATAATTTTTTCTGGCTAGCGTTTTTTTGACGAGTTATTTTTCTACGAGATGCGGTTTCCAACTTTATCTTGAACCGTGCTCAGTTATTTGGGCTTCCGACTGGCTAAAGTCACGGAGGGGCTCCAGGCGGTGTTTGAATAAACCTTACTTGTTGAATACTGTTTCGTACATATTGTGAGGTTTCACATTAACACACTTCGAATCGACAGCGCTCCTTATATCCATTCAAAAGTAAAAGTAGGTGCATCATAAAGTTAATTAACATCCCGTGGTAGAACACAATGGACTCTCCTCAGATGTGTTCAGATATTTCACTAGATGAAATTTTAGTCGACCATTTCGGGAAGCTGAAACATGTTATAAGCAACTGTGGTTAGTGAAAAATAGGCCTGCTACGAACCTCTATGTCAGGACGAAGGTTCTCTTCGTTGCCAGTCATCTGAAAGTTAATGTCCATCATTTTGTAAAATCAAAATATATTTGAGATGGGATTTTATCCGAATGTACATTTTATCCACTATAAACGAAGTTATGCTCCACCGCATTTTTCAAAATGTGTCTTGAACTTAGAAAATGAACGCCATGAAACATTGTTACACGTCGCGTCATAACTATAAGATAGTCTTTTTTGTTGGAAGCCCACGCCCTAGTTCCTGAAGATGGAGTTAAGTAGAACGGATGTGGTCACGTGTTGGATTCAGGAAAAGACTGTCACGCGATCAGCCAAATAGTTTTATTACTGTGTTCGGTTTTTATATGGATTGGGATTCGTAACATGCAGGCAATGATGAATAATTTGATGTTAATCAACCGTACAGCATCTCCTCAACGCACACCATCAGTCAGTATGTACCATGAAACTTGCATTCGCATTTTGATATCGGTATTTTAACGGGTTAACCAACCTCAGTGTATGAAGAATATATTGCCAGAACAGCTGTTTACTCCGCTTTACCTTTCCAAATCTAGATGCATACCACTAAGACTGACAGGTTCAGTAAACCTCGGAGGTGCTCATCAGTTATGTATTTCATGGTACTGACTTTTTAAACATAAACTGATTATATTCCAACTGGAATTTCAGACGAAGGAAAGCAGCTTAGATGTCTGAACCTAGCATTCACAAGACTACGGCAACACGACATTACTAGTAACATACAGATTTACGAAACCCAGGACCCTTGATTAGATCTGTGACCAATAATTTATATTTTAGTTGAACTTTCTCAAGATTTATGATTGACATTTGCGATCAAACAGTCATAACTGATTGTAACATTTATGGAAGCTCTATCGTGATCCATCCACATTAATGGTCTATCATTTACGTTAAAGACAGTTGTATACTAACGTCTTGTCCCATATTGCAATTTAACGTTAAATAAATCCACAAAATAAAAAGTTCTGCAAGTCTTCGACATTGGATGCTGACCACATTAGTTTTAATGAACTCACCTAGCCAAAGGCACTAGGCCATGGATACGCACCAGATCACGAGTGGGAACGCTTTGCTCAAAATCCCCCGCAATCGCTAGCCAGTCTAGATCAGTCAAACTTCGATGTATTGATGGCCTATCTAATGTATCTTCTAACCTCCCCGCTTCTATCGTTTGATTTTACTTGGTGGGTATGATTTATAGTAGAATGTGTTACTGGTTAAAGCGTTGTCAAACCCCGGACACCTGTGGCATCGCCCATCTCAAACATAAGGCAAGGTGACTAGAGAATATACGGTTGCACGCTGTCCAGCAAAACCATTTTGCAAAACTTTTTATACGAAGAACTTAAGGGCAATTGAATCAAATGTCAGAAATGAAGGAACGTGAATATATATTTCAACAATTATTGGTGCATTAAGTTTCACGGGATTTCAGTTGACTGCTTATTATAAGAGATGTGCAGTATGATGCACATAAATGTGGTCTCGTGCGCATGCAAAATCGAGTGGTTATCATCAGGGCTTGGTCTGAATTGTCTGCGTTTGGTTAAAAAGTATTACATGTGCTAGGGGATTAAGTAAGAAACTAGTATTAGATAGTTTAATTCGCAGCATGTGTAGAGTCATAACATGACAGACTTTAGTGATTTATTCACGCATAAATTATGTTAGGTTTCATCAGGCGGCCCAATTGGTAAGTATTGACAATTGTTCGGAATACTTCAGGAATCCGAATGCCTGATGTTCTGTAAGGTACTTGTGATGGTAGATTGTTTTTAATAACACACTAACAGATTGATTCATTATGGTGATGGTTTCTACCGTAAATCGATATCAGCCGTCAAGCAAAAATAAATTTTAAAAATGAGTTTGAAAAAGTATCAAATATTGGGTTATTCATGTATCGTATCTGTTTCCTGATTGCATGTGCGCGGATTTGTGGTTTGTTGCAGGAATAAAGTCGAACATAGGAAACCTTTGGGGTTATGCCAATGTTGTTTTAAAACTTGGATAAAGAATAGGCGAGTCGATGTACATTTAGGCGAAAAGTAGACAATTAGGCGTATATGTAGGCAAAAAGCAGACAATTCAGCGAAAAATTTACAAAAAGGGGGAAATCCGCATTATTCCCCCGGATAGGCGAAAAAGGTGACATTTTGGAGCGTTTTCCCCTTTATTTTCCAACGCATTTCCCCCTCATTTCCCCTTTTTAGCCTTTATTTCCCCTTCATTTGTTGCTTGGGCGGATGTGGGGTTCGAAGTGATTTGTGGTTCAGCTATTACTGTAGTTGGAATAATTAAACAACTGATTTGAATGGTTTTCGATATTTTCAGAATTCGAGCATGGTTCAAAATAAATTAGGTTGCGTTCTGCAACTTAGGATTGAAATTGCTCATACGTTTACTTACGCTCCAATAGCACGCTCGTTGTTTGACCTTCAAGGGCGTAACTACCTGCATTTTGTACTGTATCTAAATCTGGCCTTAGGCGCGGTAGTCGAAATGATCATCTTAGTGCCATAATCCGGTTAGTTCATCCAGTTGTTACTGAAAATATGTATTATTAACATACTTTACGAATTTGTAACGGGAACACTTAAATTCCTTTGTTTTTTCAAAGCAAAATGTATTATTCGATATAGTGTCATAAAAATCCTGAAACCCGAACAAACAATAAAAGGGGAAATGCGAACAGAGGGAAAGTAAAGGAGAAAACGAGTTAGGAAATTTATGAGAAATAATAGGGAAATGCGATAAAATGTCTGCCTTTTCGCATATCTGGGGAAATAATGCGGATTTTCTTCTTATGTCACTCTGTGTTTTAAATGTCGCTGAATTGTCTACTTTTAGCCTAAATGCACGCAAAAGTGTCTACTTAACTTCCGATTCTTCAATGTTTCCGCATTTATTTGAGACATGTTAAACAGTACATTTATTTACACAAAACTGGTGTGTTGTACACGTTACCCTGGTTCGCGGTTTATCCTATAGTTATTAATTTGTATAAGTCATCTAGTTTGCTGTTTTAACATTGTTTTAAAACCTTTCCAAAATGATGTTCATCAACTACTGGATTTTAATGATAATAGGTCCATCAGCCTAATTAGGCTGAAAAATATACCACCCAATGTTTTAATGAGATTCGTGTCCTTTACTTGGTATTAATCATATTCCGTGGTTGTAGTTCTCTCTGAACGATGTTTGCTAAATGCGAAACAACTCAACCTAAGTATTTATATTCTTTTGTAGTTTAAGCATATATTACTTTCCCAGTTTTCCCTTTATCGGTTGAGTAACAGTCTGGGCAACATATATATATGTAAGCGTATACGCTTAGTCTATTTCCCTACTTGCAGTATGAGAGTAAATGTAGAAACAATCTCGCAATATTTTCTTCTGGAAAAACTTTTCAGTCAGTGCATTGAAGATTTGAAAAGCCAAACGTTTGCTGCAAATATTGATCTGAAATGTTCTAGGACAAAATTTCGCTCATTTTACTATTAAGGATCATAGAACTTTTTGTTCGCATTCTAAGATACAGGTTGTTACACCATACATATTTTCCATAAGTCACGATCATTAAGGTCTCAGCATTATTCATGACAAGAATAGTGATAATTCTACACTGTCATTTGGCGACTTTATATTTCATAACCTTAAAGTCCTGCAATATAATCTATAAATAATTGTAAAACCTTACCAACAATGCTGTGTCTGTATGAGTCAGTCAGTGCACTGAGTTTTAGTAACAGGATTTGCTTACTCTTACTCCATGTAATGTAACCACATATAAAGTGCGGGAAAAAATCAGCCAATGAAAAATCCTTTACTTTGACGAATGAAGTTCAGCTAAAGCTAATTTAGGTTTCGGTACCCAGATGAGAAATAGTTTAAATAATAACATGAAAATAAATGTTACTTTTGCAGTGCACATATAGTTGAAACAGGTGTCATATGAAAAACTTCAACTAATGTAAACTAATTAGAATGGTTTGTTGGAGGCATCGTAGTTTAATGTTGAGTTTTCAACACATGTCCTATTTCACAAGTACCTATTTGGTAATATTTGAGTTATTTTGTTTTTATTTCTATCTTTCTGTGCTTCCATTCCGCTTAGGTTCGTAGTAATCTAAAAGAAAATAAAGTATAGAAAACCAAGCCTTTATATATGGGTGTTGTTACCATAGGGATATTTGGTATTCATCGCATGTGTTGTAATGGGGAAAGTTTGGATATTTGAAGTAAGGCGCTGCAATTCCGGAATGAAATTAGCCTTTAAGTCTGGTAAAATTACAGTCGTTTCTTTTTTGTAGTGTTAGTGTTTGTACTCACGGATAATCAATAATAAAACTTACACAGTATTCCCATGAATACATTTAGGCAAAGTCATGTAAGACGAACTTGGTGTACAGAAATCTCGTAGTAGAACGCTTTTCTTGTACCTGCTTACTGATTTTATTAAAATATAATGCACAGTTGGCATTCCTATACTAGCAGTTATAATGTTTTGTGTAATATGTGAGGATTAGTGAGTTACTGTTTCACTAGTTAATTTAAGGCTTTAACCTGATGAGTGGTAGTTTAGTTATTATTATTATTATTATTATTATTATTATTATTATTATTCATATCTCAGGTAGTTTTTAATTTGAATAAATGCATCTTAGACGATTAGCATTGTACTATCTTAGATATATAGGTGTAAAAACCTAATTTTCTACCTTTATGATCATCCAATGGTAATTTTACCATGATATCCTGTTTCTTAAAATGGATTGGTTGTATACTTCAACTTTTCTACAGTGAAATATTTTATTTCTTTAGTAATATCAGTCATGTGGACAATAAATTACTATTTGCTTCTATTTATTTTCCAGATACTGTAAGCATTTTATGCTGCATTTATTCTCGAATTATTTTCATCTTAAATCCTGCACTGTATATTCGCACTATGGTTAGTGTACATCATGGTTTTGCATTACGAATTGTGTAGATAAATTTTATGTTATTGTTTAGTCGTCAAGGTAAAGTGCGACTTCAAAAATGGTATAGCTCTTATACGGAGAAAGAAAAGAAAAAGTATTTACGCGAAATTATTTCTCTAGTCTTTGCGAGGAAACCAAAAATGTGCTCGTTTCTAGAATGGCAAGACCTTAAGATTGTGTACAGAAGGTGTGTTTGTAATTTATTGCAACTACACTTTCTTGAACAGATATGCTAGTCTCTATTTTGTGTGCGCTATTGATCAGACAGATAATGAATTGATTACATTGGAGATTATTCATCGTTACGTGGAGATTCTGGACAAATATTTTGGAAATGTAATTCGTATTTAACAAAATTGTATTTTTAAGGTCTGTGAATTGGACATAATCTTCCACTTTGAAAAAGCTTACTTTGTTTTGGATGAATATTTACTAGCTGGTGAAGTACAAGAGACAGGAGCAAAAGAAATTCTTTCTGTGATAGATGCACAAGATATAATTCAAGAGGTATGTTTTTTCTATTAGTCTCATTTGGTTTTCTTTCAGGATGAAGTCCCACAAAAACTTTTCGAAGACCAAAGTCTCAATTGACAGTAGTACTTTATTTGGGTCGCCAGATTATTTAAGTCTTACGTTTACCTCCCTCCATGGCATTGTCAGATGTTCTTGAAAATAAACTTTACTTTTCTACTGCCTTGATATTAATATTGTCTTTCTTTAAAATATGAAAGTTGTCGTTATCTACGATTAACTCTATGCAAAGATATAGGGTAAGATGACAAGTAACCGAATAGATTCAGTGTTGTGTAGAAATAACTATGCATATAGTTTTTTTATCATTTTGGAAAGAGCAAGAACAAAAATTTTAAAGAAGATAACATGAGTTTATCTTATTTCGTTCAGTTCTCGTTAGTTGCCTTCAACTTATAGTGTTTAAAAGTAAAAATTACAAAGTGGGTTTAAATTATGTACATGAAAGTGTTTATTTAGAGGTTGCTGTGATCACACATTCATATAATGTAGCAACAATGTATATAAACTTAACAAACTAAATAAAATATAAATGTATATCTTATGTGGAAGAATATTTTATAACATTGTTAGTAACACAAGATCAAAGGGTTAGAAACAGTTAGTTACTTAACAAGCGAACACCGATAATAAGGATAAATTAAGCGAAGTTCATTTGCTCGCCTCCGTGTCTATAAATTTACTTGCACCTTCCAAACGAGCTACATTAATCGCACAAGAAGGAGAGCATATCTTAGATTGTGTAGACACGCTCCCAAACCCCTTCAGACAAGAGAAAGTACTACTTTAAATAACTCGAACACTAAATACCTTTTGGACACAGGACATCAAGTCAATACCTTAAAATCCTTCAAGGATATTAATAAACAACCAAACTCCAGTCATTTGAAGTTCACTAAAACTATCTTTATCAGGCGTCAGAGAGATGGTTTCTAATCTTTCTTTGCCCTGGTGACAAACATGTTTTCCATTACGTCATTAAAGGCTGTCCAACTTTTTTTAATTAGTTACATCAGTACGCCTGTATTGTGAATGTCTTCTACATTGTTAGCCTTATTTTACCAAGCAGAACTTTGTTGATTTTATCCTTATTATCAGCATCTGTCTATTGCGTAACCACTTGTTTCTATCCTTTTCATCTCAGGTTACTATCAATCTTGTAAAATATTCTTTCATATAAGATATATATTTACAATATCCTTTTCTCCTAATTTTTTTCATATTATTGCTATACTGTATTGAGTTTGATCATAGTAACCTTTAAATATTGCAGGATGCATGTAGCTGGCGAAAGCCAAACGAAATAAAATGAATCCATGCTATTCTGATATAACTATTATATATATACCTTTGAGAAACCAGACTGTATGAGATACGAAACCAATTGTCCTTTCGTCTGGTGGATGTCGATAATTCTGTTATTTTCATCTTTTGATGGATCCTGGTTTTGTGTGAAGACGCTGACAAAATACAGAGTCTTCTAACCACTCTAAGCAACAATACAAGCATGTTCGGGATGCGATTCTCCTCCTCGAAATGCAAAATGTTGCTTCAGGATTGGGTTGCATTGACACCCGAACTAATGATAGGGAGTGAAGTAATTGAGCGTGTCGGTCACTTCACTTATCTTGGAAGTCTCATCAGCCCTTGTGGTCTGGTGTGTGACGAAATCGCAGCACGAATACAGAAGGCTCGACTAGCTTTTACCAACTTGCGTCATTTATGGCGTAGACGAGATATCCGTCTATCAACCAAAGGACGTGTTTACTGTGCAGCAGTTCGTTCCGTCCTACTTTATGGCAGTGAAACGTGGCCAGTAAGAGTAGAGGATATTCGTAGGTTACTAGTATTTGATCATAGGTGTCTTCGAAATATTGCTCGTATATCCTGGGACCACCGACTAAGTGATGCAGTTGTTCGGAAACAGGTACTAGGTAAGGATGGCAAATCAATTGATGAAGTAGTGAAACTTCATCAGTTGAGATGGCTGGGACATGTGTTACGTATGCCCAACGACCGACTGCCTCGATGTGTGATGTTTTGTTGTATAGGAGTAGATTGGAAGAAAGCTAGGGGCGGCTAGATCAAAACATGGCACAAGTCCATGAAGTCACTGACAAGTGAACTGAGTCATGTTGGTAGGTGTAGACTACGTGGTTGGGGACCGCGAGATGATAGCAACCGATGGTTAGAGACCCTGAATGACATGGCTCAAAATCGTTTGCAATGGTGCAGGTGCATACACTTTGTGTTCTCCCAAATTATAATCTGAATTCTTCATGTTCCTTTCTTTTTTCTCTTCCGAAATTTGTTTCACTGGATTATACTCCTTGAGTAACATCTTCAAACCCTAATTTTTCTGATTACAACTTATAATTTTACTACATCTAGCACTACGGGATTTGAATTGACCACTGCATCTCTGTGCTAATGTGGTGTGGCAACTCGGACTGATGTACGTACGTACGTACGAAGTTCTACTTCGTTACTGACTGGTTTTATGTTGCCCACTACGATTGTTTGTCGTAAATTTATGGAAATGTCAGTGTATTTTAACTGGGAGTATTTATTTCAGACATATATTCAGCAAGCTTTTTTATTATTAGTTTGAATAACTCCAGGTCAATTTAATACATATAGTGTTTGGGTCCTTAAATACAAAATATTCAAAAACACAATTGTATGAACGAAGAATATTCTTTTCAATAATTTCTCGTCAGGTTCTACAATTATAAATCCAGATTAATAATCCAATTTTATGGATTATTAATCTGGATTTATAATTGTAGAACCTGACGAGAAATTATTGGAAAGAATATTCTTCGTTCATACAAATGTGTTTTTAATACAAAATATTCGTTAGTAAATCTTAAGTTTGTGGACGTATCTTTAAATATTTAGTGCTTATAGGAGAATTAGTCCAGAAACAATTAGCGTTGTCGTAGAATTTTAGTTTTATGCCTTTCACTGTGTATTTATTAGTAGCTTAATCAATGCTATCTTGATCTAGGTGCTTCATGAGTATTAATAATGAATGTGTTTGCATTTGCTCTTGTGGAATAACGAATTCAGTCTATAATTAGTTGTTTACGAATTTTACTACATTATTTAGTGATAGTTTACATCACATTGCGTTCCCACTGTAATAGTCATATCATGAAACTATAACGTAAAGGTATAAGGTACTTGTACCTTTTTGATGATGGTTGTTGTAGTTCTCCAAGTTTCAGCTCCATACAGTGGAACTGTCTTGACGTTCGTATTGAAGATTCTGACTTTGATATTGGTTGACAGTTGTTTTGAGTTCCATATGTCCTTCAACCGCAGGAATGCTGACCCTGCTTTGCCAATCCTTGCCTTTACGTCTGCATCAGATCTTCCTTGTTCATTGACGATGCTGCCCATATATATGAAAGTTTGCACCTATTTCAGAACTTCTCCATGAACGTGGTTAGGCTGGTGTTGTCCGTGTTGTGTACGAGGATCTTGCTTTTTCCGTTGTGTATGTTGATGCCCACTGGTTGTCTTCATGTGCATTTGTTCGCGTGTATGAGATAGAAGGGCCAGATCATCTGCGAAGTCCAAATTGTCTAGTTGCATCCAATCTATCCATTGTATTACGTGCTTCCCGTCAGATGTGGAGGTCTTCATAACTCAGTCAATCACCAGAGAAAAGGGGGAGGGTGAGAGTAAGCAGCCTTGTCTGACACCGGTCCTCACTCGGAAAGCGTCTGTCAGCTGTCCTCCATGCACCACTCCGCAGTGTAGTCCGTCGTATGAATTCCATATGATATTGAAGATCTTCTCAGGTACATCATAGTGTCGAAGAAGGTCCAATAAAGTTCCCCTATTCACTATATCAAACGCTTTCTCATAGTCAGGGAAGTTGATGTACAGTGACTAGCTCCATTGAATTGATTGTTCGACGGTGATCCGTAGTGTCACGATTTGATCTGTGCACGACCTTTCATCACGGAACCCAGCCTGTTGATCTCGAAGTTGGGCGTCTACTGAATCCTTCATCCGGTTCAGCAACAATCGGCTGAAAATCTTTCCTGGTACTGATAGCAGTGTGATGCCTCTGTGGTTCTCGTATTTGCTCAGATCTCCTTTTTTTGGTATCTTGGTAGGGTATTCTTCTTTCCAGTCTGTCAGTAGCACTTGTTCTTCCCCTCCTCATATCTTTCCGAATAGAACGTGGAGCATGTCCGCAGTTACTTCTGTGTCTGACTTCAGTGCATCAGGTGGTATATTGTCTGAACCTGCTGCTTTCTCACATTTGATTTGTCTGATGGCCATGCTAATCTCTTTGGTCGTTGGTGGAGTTACATCTGTAGGAAGGTCTATAGGTACTGCTTCGATATCCGATAGATCCAATGGAGCTGGTCTATTCAAGAGTTCGTCAAAGTGTTCTACCCATGGGTTCATCTGTTCGTGGATCTCAGTGATTGGCTTGCCTTTTTCCTTGTCCTTGAAAGTTCTCTCTGGTTTACCATATTTCCCTGCCAGTTTCTTCGTCGTGTCATATAGTTGTTTCATATTTCCTTCTCTTGCAGCTTTTTCCGCCTTCGTTGCTAGTTCTTCCACGTATTTCTAAGTTTATAATTATATTAATTTACAAAGGCCAAAATAAAGCATGCATTAATGAATTTGACGATGTTGTATGTTAGAAACGGTTAATGTTCGCATCTGTTACGACATAAATACTTCGAAACTACGTTATTTGTAGATTAGAAAGGTAATTTTTCTTCTGAACAACATCAGCACACACTTTAAGTATAAGTGAAGTATTCAAACTCCGCTATATAATTTGTCCACCATGTATTTGAAACAAACATTTGACCTTTTATTGTGGATGTAACTTTATTTCTCAAAAATGTGAATATACGTAATTGTTTTCTCTTTGTCATGTGTTCCAAAATACGAGATTATCATGGGCTCAATGTTGGGAGATTAACAATGGGGAGAATTTCTGAAATTTTGTCACATGTGTAACAAGTCAACATAATAGGTTTTAGTTTATATGTCACCCTGGAATACACATTCTGAGTATGCCTTCATTTGCTTACCGTAGTTGATATTACTTGAATGATGAAGATGTGGTTTCGACTCCCTGCCACTTGTTTCCACGAAGGACAACCATTCCCTGTTTAACAGTACCTTATATATCGTCTAATTGATGGATTACTTACGCCTGTTACCCCTCGTGGAGCAGCATAGATCGCCCACCAGCATTGTCCATCGAACTCTGTCCCGGGCCTCCTTTGTCCTTGACCGGTTTCTCTGGTTTACCATATTTCCCTGCCAGTTTCTTCGTTGTATCATAAATCTGTTTCAAAGTTCCTACTCTTGCGGCTTTTTCCGCCTTCGTTGCTAGTTCTTCCACGTATTTCTGCTTGTCGGCTCTAATGCTCTTCTTCACTTGCTTGTTTACTTCTATGTACTCAGCTTGTGCTTGGACTTTCTCTGCTCATGTTCGGCTATTGTTAATTGCTGTCTTCTTGTTCTTCCATTCTTTGATCCTGTCCAGTGTTTCTATAGAGATCCATTCCTTATGATGGTGCTTCCTCAGGCCCAGAACCTCTTGACACGTTGAAGTTAATGCTTCTTTGATACCTTTCCAGTCGTCATCCATAGTAGTTTCTTCTTTCAGTAGATGTTGTAAGGCTTGGAACCTGTTGTTGAGAATTATCTTGAATTCGTTGAATTTGTCAGTATCTCGAAGGAAGGCTGTATTGAACCTTTGTAATGCTGTTTCAACAGTTGTCCAAATTGATAGATTAGTCATGACAAATCTATTTTTTCATTTCTTGAAATATTGTTTTGGCTAATCTTGAGATCGTGCTTAAACATTCAATTATTAGTCCTACTCCAGATATGTTGATGAAGCATTATCGTTGATATCAATGAGAAACATACGTTCCAGTTGTGCATCACAGTTCATCGAAGCAAATAAAAAGAGTTTATCACGAAACGAGGTCCCACTTTTTTGATATAGTGATAAAATGAAGATCAGATGGCAAAATTCAGTGTTTAATTTATTTCAGGGTACGTGTAATGGATTACGCATGGATTTCGATAGCCTTGATTTGGTCGATTACAAAATAACAGTTGTTTAATGTAGTTAGCATGTAAAAATATTGAAGGGATGATCGAAAAAATACAATAGCCAAACCTGTATTGTAGCTAAATGTATCGTCTTCTTTAGCATAATCATACGTAAACTGGTAGCGCTCTCAGAAATTGTTATGTTATCAAGGAACTACAAAATGATGGAAATCTTCGTCAATTTATGTTAACTTAGTGATCATCTTCACTCCAGTGCAATTCTACAAAGACACAACTCTACTATGTTCTATTTTGAAGCAATATGTTGGCCAATTATATATATATATATATATATATATATATATATATATATATATATATATATATATATATATATATGAGGGACGAGGAAGCAGTGCGATGCATCTTGGAAGGAGTTAGTCGATATCTGTTCATTGTTATAATGAAAACTACATTACTGCAGTCTTGTCAGATACTTGGATTAAAAATGTAAGACAGCAACGAATAATTTCGGAACATAGCTAAGGTTTTCATCCATTCCTTTCTATCAATTTGTCAGTTGTGTAAAATGCGTCATTATTAGAAACAAATCACTGCTCTGTTGTTAGATTGCAGCGAAGCCATCGACTCGCTGAATTATTTTGAACTTGCATATCTGAGTTTTTAGTAAATTTTATTAAAGTACTTGGAAAAGCACATTGGACAAATACTTATTATTGTTCCTGTCTTAATACTTAACAGTATATTTATTTCAGATCTTGAGTTGAAAGCAAAAGAGCTAAACGATTATTCTACAGAACTTTATGATAGGTAATAGATTTAACATACAATGACTTTGTACTGTCTTGCGAGTTATCGGTTGGCATCAAAACTGGAACTATTTTGGTAATAGTGAGTAATCCCGAAAATATGTGAAGGATTCGATGTATGGTCTAGTGTATTAACGATTTCATGCTTAACGAAGTTAGATGAGCTTTTTCCTATTGATGATAGTTCATCGTCAAATACTTTGAGGTAGGCATTGAAATCACGACAGTAATTTTAACTTCGATGGTCAGATAACCGTCGCTTTGCCACGATTACGTACTAATTTCCATAAAGTGCTTATTTAGCCAGGAACCTTCAACAATAACCATTTATCTAAGCTACATTTTAGTCACAGTGTGCTTTTATGTAATAGTAATCGATTAATTTGAACAAAAAGTCAATTAACTGACTGACATCGTCGCTATCACATATGATCATTATGTACAAAACCCAAATAAATCTGTTTTGGGAAGACGAAATAATCCCTCATTTATTTAGATCTATCTGTCACAAAACGTGTGTTATAGCACATGATCAACAAAAGCACTTGTTTTGGCGATCGTATAGAAATTGTCCTGACAAATGAAAACTTATTGTCATGCAACCCCTAGTATTTTGTTGCTTACGCAAAGTAGTTAGCTGAGTTTTATTTTGTTTCTTACGATCACTCATGATGAATGTGAGGACAGTAAATCACCAATAGCAAGGAAAGTCAAACGTCTTACAGTAGTTTTTCTATACTTTCACATAAATGGTTTAGTTGCAAGTCATTGACATCATTCAAACAGCGCGAACCTTAAGGAGAACTATGCTATTTGGACCGGGGCTTATAACTTTAAATTTGATAATTGCATGAAGCCCTATTTTATTCAAATTGGTCGTTTTGTCAAGCTGATTCACGATCGATATTTGTTTAAGCCATTGACAGTTTGATTTCGTGTCTTCTATGTATGCCATAATGTTCTAGATCTTAGGTAGTTACTGAAGTAGTGAGATTTTCAATTATCACTTGTCGTTTGTTCTATACCATTAAACTGAAAAAGACCAATACTCTTGAATATAAAAGCTTTATCCAGAAAAAAACGTCTTCTTGAATGGTTTTACTAATATTATTCATAATAGAATATCACTGCCATTAACAACGATGAGATTCTATATCAAATAGTGAGCTAGGTGTAGATTAAATTTATCCCTCGAATTAGTGTAATCATACAATATATATGCGATTTTTCTGCTAAGATTATATAATGAACTTCTGAACAAGAAAATTTATGTAAGTTAAAAACTAGTCAAAATGATATGTATCTCATTGTAATAGAGATATGTGGGTTGGGTTACTTTTGAGAAATAAGTAATAAAACACTGGGTAGCATAAACATAAACACGAAACGGATAGTCTATGTATTTATAATATTGATTATACTATATCGAGACGATTGTTCAATTCCAAGTAAACTTCACCTGGAGTATCAATCAGTGAGTTCTTTCAATTGTTTCTGACCTAAATGTAAAGCGAACAGCCGTATTAACGGTTCACAATTCGAATGCAACGCTAGCGAATGTGGTGTTTCTTTACGATTATTTTCTATTTTCATATTTGCACCACATCTATGTAGAAAATAGGAAAGAAAGAAGATAATAACAAATAAGATGGGGAAAAGGATCTGCAGTAACTAAATCGAGAAAACACTACATAAGTAATGGCCAGATCTAATGAGAACTAAATATGGAAACGAAAACTTATTTGGAATAAGATCTTTTTAAAAAACTTGTTCTATCGTATTCAGCAAAGGCTTTTTGTCATTTACAAATGGGTTGGCCCATTCAGACACAGCTTGACACTAGACCTTCTAGGAGTCATCGGAAATCATCCGATAATAGGAAATATCAGACATTAGACTCAGAACAGTCGAATTGGGATTTAAGGTTGATGGCGGATCGAAGAATTTGCACTGATGTGAAGTTCAGCATTAAAACAGAAGAATTTACCAAACTTTTCATTTTTTTTTGCAGTAATTTCCGGCTAACAATAATGTAAAACCTCCTTTGGACAAACCAAGTTGTTAAAACTAACGATTTGAATAAAACATGACTTTCTTCACATAACAAAAACCATCTCCGAATCATAAGGGTTGTTGGAGACGGACAAAAACTCATACTGATATTTTTAAATCATGAGTTAAGAGTAGTCGAAGGGTTTTTATTGTCAGTTAGTTATAAACTAACTTAGTACGTAGATACAGCATGATAATCCAAATCCCTGTAATTACGATCTTCAAAAATGCTAGTTAGAAGCATTGTTAGGACATTTGAATATAATTAATAACCTGATTGTTTTAGATATTTTTAGTTAAAAGACCGATCCTGATGTATAGAAATTACAAATAAACTATGGATCATGGCCAGTAGTTTCCGAAGATTCAGACCGATGGTCTACCCGATTGAGCGATATGATCTTAATACTGTGTATGCTCTAATCTCACTTCATTAATTAAAAATAGTGTCTGACTCTCATCATAATGAGAATACGCTTATTCAACTTTATCTCATTAAGCTAGATATTCGCACTGGATAGCTTACTGAACAAAAAATAATGACATCAAAATTTCATGCGCAATCAACTTACCTTAATAACTCTTTTGCCAATTCTAATCCGTCAATGCCACGCAGAACTGCTTCATGTAATGCAGTGTTGCCTAATCTGACATTTCAAAGAGAGGTTAATGGAATAATACTAATAGCGAGTACAGTGTTACTGTATTTACCAATTCTTTAGTTAAATGTGTCACTTTGATCTTATTAATGTGAAAATTCCCACTCAGACATTTAATAAAAAGAGGAATAAAGCAAAGAAGTATTTTCTTTTAATTAGTTTTTTACTGTGGATATATATATATATATATATATATATATATATATATATATATATATAACTTAGAAAAATGACCAAGATTAGTTCATGATGTAAAAAGAAAATTCAACAATCTCTGCAAAAAACTTAATAGTAGTTACGTAAGAAAAAAAGATTAAAGCTGAGTAAGATTTCGGTAGATGACTTGGAAAGTTCTATTCAAGTTAACTTGTCGGCCTATATCAATCAAGGATATAAATCCTAATCGGCTTTAACTGCCCTTTGCTCAATCAGGCCGGATAGTATTCGGTGATATGATGATGAATTTATTGGGTGCCTTATGTAACTAGCTCTACAGCAGTAGCTGAACTGACTCACACTTGTTATGAATATAGATATTATTTAGTACTAACCGTACTTATATTAGCGTCAGAAACAGTGTCAAATGCGATCCATGATTGTATTTACTCTGACAGGTAATTGTTAATGGCACGAGTACAAATGACCATGTTCTAGATGTAATAATTAACAATATCAAACATATTATGCTTAGAATGGAACGCTTTAAGCAGCAAACATTTCTAATTATAAAAAAAACAACTAACAGTCATCTGCAAGACAGTGATTGTTTACGGTGTGGGATATAATGCAATGAAAAAGAAACTAAATAAACCGGACAGCAAACTTCGAAAGAACGAACAGAGGATATGATTTCCGTTTTGGAATAGAAATACGATTTTTATGGAAATATTTCTTTCTTGAGAAGACAAATAATTATGAAAGGCAAAATAAAGAAATCAATTGTAAACTCTCTATTCATGTGTCCTTATTACATAACTTTGCGTGTTACCATTTTCTTATAGTAAAGTATCAGTAGTGATACTGACTAGGTCTAGTGTGTTTCTCTCAACACAAAACAATATTACTGTTGTCCTTAATATTTATCCTAGAACGGTGTTTTAGATTTATCATGAGATAATCTAAATAAACTACTAGATTTTGTCGACATTTATTTCAAGTGAAATATTACTCTTCTTCGATTCAATTACTTTATAGAATGAAATCTACGGATCACACAAATATAGCGCCTATAATAAGATTTACTTACATCACAATGAAGATAACACTCATATCCCAATATCTCTATCTTATTAATAAACCAATTAGTAAAACATTTATCATTACATAAAAAGTCAAACACATAGTGATAATAAAAAATGAAATAGAGACCGAAAAGATGGTGTAATATAAAAAGAATGACTGTGACACTAGCCCTAACATTAAAATAAATAAGAGTTATTGAGGGGAGATCCAAGTGAGAACAAATTATTTCTGTAAATATAAATTCTAGTCATGGGTTGCTTAACAGAGTGTTGCTGAACCGGATGAAACACTCAGTAGACGCCCAACTTCGAGATCAACAAGCTGGATTCCGTAAGGATCGGTCGTGCACAGACCGGACTGAGACACTACGGATCATCGTCGAACAATCAGTTGAGTGGAACTCGTCACTGTACATCAACTTCATTGATTATGAAAAGGCATTCGACAGTGTACATAGGAGGACATTATGGAAACTTCTTCGACACTACGGAGTTCCTGAGAAGATTGTCAACATTACCCGGAATTCATACGACGGACTACAGTGCAAGGTCGTGCATGGAGGACAGCTGACAGATGCATTCCAAGTAAGGACCGGAGTCAGACAAGGCTGTCTACTCGATCCCTTCCTCTTTCTTCTGGTGGTCGACTGGATTATGAAGACCTTGACATCTGAAACAAAACACGGAATACAATGGACAGCTCAGAACCAATTAGACGATTTGGACTTCGCAGATGACCTAGCCCTCCTATCACGTACACACGAACAGATGCAGATGAAGACAGCCTGTGTAGCAGCAGTCTCTGCATCAGTAGGCCTCAGCGTACACAAGGGGAAAACCAAGATCCTCAAATTCGAAACGGAGAACAGCAATCAAGTCACTCTTGATGGCGAAACTCTGGAAGATGTAGAATCCTTCACATACCTGGGAAGCATCATCGATGAACAAGGAGGCTCAGATGCAGACGTAAAGGCAAGGATTGGCAAAGCAAGGGCCGCATTCCTACAGTCGAAGAACATATGGGACTCGAAACAACTGTCAAACAATATCAAATTCAGAATCTTCAATACGAACGTCAAGACAGTTCCACTGTATGGAGCTGAAACTTGGAGAACTACAACAACCATCATCAAAAAGGTACAAGTATTTCCAAACGCCCACGCAAGATACTCAATATCCGTTGGCTGGAAAACATCAACAACAACCTGCTGTGACAGAACAAACCCGATTTCAGCTGAAGAGAAAACCAGGAAAAGACACCGGAGGTGGGTAGGACATACATTGTGGAAATCACCAAACTGCATCACGAGGCAAGCACTAACTTGGAATTCTGAAAGGAAACGGAAAAGAGGAAGACCAAGGAACACGTTACTTCAAGAAATAGAAGCATATATGGAAAGGATGAATAGGAACTGGAAGGAGCTGGAAAGGATTGCCCAGGACAGGGTTGGATGGAGAATGCTGGTGAGCGGCCTATGCTCCTTCACGAGGAGTAACAGGCGTAAGTAATAAGTAATGGTATTTTTAAACGTAGTTCATGTTGTTTCTAAGTAATCTTTTACTCAGTAATTATTATCATAAATCATGTCATATTTCACTAGGAAAATGAAATTCCAGGTGTAGAAAAACGATTTAGACAATTTTAAGGGAATATTTATACATGGTTAGAAGCTGACTCTCTTTATCGATTGATAAAAACAGAAATATAGCCACTAATAATTTGAATGTTAGACAGACAAACAACGAGAGAATACAGACACACAACATAATAAATGTCAAAATGAAAACATTTGTAGTTAATGTAAAGGCGTATATTGTAATGACTAATGTTTTCAACAGTAGTAGTATTGTGAAACAGCATATGCATGTCTATAATGACACGAGAGTCATGTGTTAACAACAGAGTAACGAAGTCAAGAGAATTATGGTAGCCGTCAAGATTATTATTGTAGGCGCCAAACTAAACTTAACTACTCAGTTTGATCTCTATGACAATATATTCCCATGAGCGATCCATTAGATGAATTTTTCAATCGGATTATTGATAGGTAGCCAATGTTTATTCGGAAAATTGGTGTTAATCGAAAAATAATTAGGTATTAATATCAGTTATTAACTCCGATGATCTATGGAAACACTAGAATATTTTCAATAGATATTCTTATTACACGTGGATAACATTATTGTAATATTGACTTATCTAGATGTAATGCAGGGGTGTTGTAATAATGGGCGATTAATTGGTCAGCAACCATTCATCTCACCTTGTGAGATTGATTTTTGTCTATTTAAGATAGTGGGAATGTTATGTTTAATACAGAACAGATTGATTCCATGAAAAATTACTTAGTGATAGTTGACTGATTCTCATTTTTCCCTTCCTTTAAATTGGTTTCCCAAATGTGTGTATTCCTTTATGGCAAAAACGTGCAGTTCATGAAGTTATGTGAAAATGGAGAAGTGATAACACTGTATAAGTAGGTTGAAAAATAGGGAGCCATTAAAAGTCCCTTAAGAACTAAAAATAAGTTCAGTCTTTTTTTAATGGACGACAAATACGAAAAAGGGTTTTTGTGTGTGTCCCTAAGTTACGATTAAAGATCGTCGAGATTAAAGAGTAAGGACATATCGGTAGATTGCAATAAACTTAAACGAAGTACATATAAATTATTCAGCTTACGATGTTCCGGTAGCATTAACCTGTGCACCATTTTCTTTTAGTACAGATATCGCTTCAACGAAGCCATGACGTACAGCACAAATCAATGGTGTTTCTTTAGCAGCATTAATGCAATTTGGATTTGCACCCTATTTTATTGAATGAAAAAAATGGTGATGAACAAAGAAGTTAGTTAATTCGGCAAAGACAAAATGTAGGATGATATATTAAATGCATCAATTGAGTATTATGTATTACGATATGTTTCAGAAGTTAAATAGGAATAAAGTAAACCACTAAACAATATTATTTAAGGAAATAACTCAAGCCTATCAGTATATTTCGAAAGTCAAATAAACAGCATATCTTAAGTTTAATGGATTGCAAAGTTATAAACAAAGATATAACACAGAAATAAATCAAGGAAGAGGTATGTAACAATATTTCTACATATTTGACTTAATGGCCAAATTGTTACCATAAACATAGGGTAATATTTGTTGAGCACTGAAATTCCCAAATAACAGACTTTGTCTAATGTTGAATCCAACTTCTTTCAATAGAAGAAAAAGTGAGGTTAATTTTACTTGAGTACAAAATGACTAGGAGTTTCAAACTGTTATTCTAATCAACTGGATATTTTCCACCAAGTTTTATCATTAATTCGTTTGATTTAAAAGTAGTTACTGTACCGTAATAAACGACCTCTTGCGTAAGGTAGGTAAATAAAAAATATTTTCTTAATGAGTCTATCGTATGTTTTACGTTAAATAAACGTAGGTGTAATTTACTACGAAAATGAACTTAAGACAGATCCAAAAGTAAAGAGAAATATGTACATTAAAAAAAAGAGAAGCATATCATCTTTGGACAATATGATAAAAAAGAATGGTCAAGTTGATTATTAGCAGAAATCAGTAAGAAAAAAAAACACAGTAAAAGTAATTGTCTTACAGTCTTCAAGTAGAAGTGAACGCCTAAAATATGAATAATGATACGTTGAACTTGATTGAATTGATAGTATTTTTTTGTGACCCTTGTCTATTTGAAGATAATTTCGATTATTATCTGCTTTTATTAAATACCTACAAACTGACTTACAAACAAATCTAAGAACGGTTTTTAGTGTTTGATATTTACTGCACATAAACTTCATTTTAATAGATTTCTTTTTCATAAAATAAGCAAAAACAAAGTCTTTATATTTAAGTAAGTAATCATAGCAACTATTTGTATACTTACAACACATCCTTTATAGAAGGACTCACTGGCATTTTTTTCCGAACCCGGAGACTTAAAGTCAATTTGCGAAATTTAATTAATTTTGACTGTACATATATTTAATAACATACTTTCAGTATATCATTAATATTTATATCAAATTCTAGATTGGCACTAATATTCTACAGAATTAGTGATTTGACCAATCAACGTTCAGTGATTGGGTTACATGTTTGAAGACATCAAAATCTAATTTCGTCTCATTATCTGGATGACAGTATCATAACCTATCACAAAAATAATGTTTGGATCACAACTGTAATTAACAAATAAGTTACACATTAGTAATTCACTTTAGAATCACAATGAAAAATCACCTTATGATTACTAGTGACGAACTTCTAAGGGTAATTCTCTGAGTACTAGTGTGAAGCTGTGCTCAGTTAAAAGTTTAACCGTGTTGTGTATGAGACAAGTCTCATGAATGGACAATCAATAAAATCGCACAATATCGTGAATTTCTAAATTGAAACAGATTAAACATTAGGTGCTGAGTCAGTGGTTTTAAGGTTATGTGCTCGTCACAAGACCTAAAAGTTCTAATTTCGATCCCGGTTGGGTCGTGGATGTACACAACTAAGGAGTCCCATATTCGGGATGAAACAACCATCATATGCTTCGTGGTTTACCATGGCTGTTAAACTAAGGTCAGTTCTCGATAAAATATAATGAAAAAGTTTGTGTAAATAAATATTGATATTGCCGACAGAGAATAATAAACTCAGCTCCAAATATTCACGACAAGAAATAGAAACCTCAAATGAATGACACTTTTTATAATCTTTTGTTTAGTTGTGAATTTAGTCTAGTGAATGAGACTCCCACATTTGAAGTGATAGGGAATGAAGCTGGAGTCAGAGTGAGAAATATTGGTAGTAGGATATAGATGCAATCGATTAACGAGTCTTGAAGCACACTTCCTGCATTCTACTTTTAGACACTATATAATGAACTAGTAAATGCAGACATCTATTACATGTATTTATTAAATAAGTTTGTACATCAACAGAGAATGATTAATTCCCTACTGAATATCAACAACAGGAAGATATAAAACTTCTAATTCATAAACCGACATTTAAAAATTGTTACAATACATCTTAGAAATACTTAAAACCAAAATATAATAAGTGATGAAGAGAATATACACTGTTGCTTGTCCATTTCTACTTGAATTTAAACCCTAAAACCCGTACTCCAATTTAACATTAAACAAAAGATTAGCTAAAACATACTTGATTATGTTAAAATGTATGCCAATGTGAATTTTAATTTTTTTTCTGATTAAATTATTCATCATACATAAGACTGGATCATATTGATGAAAATCTACCAGCATAAATAATGGTTAATTTACCACCAATGAATAGTTAAATAGTTGTGATTTTTTATTGGTATAAAGATAGAACATAAATATCTACATCATCACTTGAAACATTGGATGTAAAATTTTTATTGTTATAATTTGTGAATCATCAATGATCAATCGAAAATCTCATTTAACATTAAATTGTACTGATATTAAATATTGTAAATAAAATACTCACTTCATTAAGAAGACGTTTAACTTCATGAATATCTAATTTTGGTTGACTTAGCGTGTAAAACAAATTAAGATCTGAAGTCTATGAACGCAGAAAAGGAACAAGAAACATTAACCAGGAAATTGTTTTCGAAAAATAAGTTAATTGTAGAGAAAAACGGATAAAATGCAATAAGTTATCCCTATTTTGCATTGTAAACGTTATTTTATTATTATTTTATTTAAACACATAAACATTGGTACAAGGAGGCACCAAATAGATATGCGCCACATAAATCGTTCGATTTGTGTGAGGGCTGGGATACTGATCGGGTGCCCAGACCGAAGCAGGTGGTTTTCTTAGGGAGGCTACACCCCAAACCTTTGACTTTAAGATCTGACCCACAAGGCAGTGGAGCATCGTGAGGAGATGCAGTCCCATGGTAGCCGGTGACCAACAATTGATTCATACGCCATTTCTTCCCGCAGGATACTGGAGCCTATGTGGACCATTGGTTTGGAATCCGGTTAAAGTGCCGGACATTCGTTTTTCGTCCTCTCATTTTCGTAAACAACACCCCAGCCACGAGAAGGCAGTGAGTAGGACTTCCCTGGCAGAGGCTGTATACGCGTGGATGTGTGAGGGCATTTCGAGAGGGAGGGCGCCCCCCCACTCTCGTCCATACCAGGGCATTTGGGGGAATTGTAAACGTACATCAACTAGAAACGAATATTAGTATCTTGTTACTGTTTGATGTCCTGATAGAAATCAGTGATCTGTTCTTAGTTACTGCATCAATACATAGCCGGTAAAAACGAAATAATAAATGAAATTGAAAAAGCAGCTTGAATTACATTTGAATTTACACTAGTATATATATTGTTGTTGATGCTAAAGTCACTGGCTTGAATATATAAAATCCGATTAGATTGACTTGAAGCCTCCTTTACTCACCAGTATTAAATAGACTATGCACGAGTATAAATTGAAAATTTACTAAGAAAATGAAAATTTTGATTGGATTCTTAAAGACCGTGAAACTTGTAATCTTTATTTCAACAACAATATGATAAAGCATGATATGGCAGTAATGTAATCAAAATTCTATTTAAACCGTTACATACATTGAACCGTATGAATATAATTCATAGAAATAAAAAAAACTAAAGAATTAAATATATGTTTCATTTTTTAGATGTAACTATACTATTTCGTTAATTATTTAGTATTCCAATTGTTTATATGGTCAAAATTGAAAACCTATGATGAATTCTAAAAAAAAATCATTGCAAGATAGAATGAAACTATTTTTTTAAAAATCATTCATCTACTTTACAGTATGATCTAATGAATTTCTTAATGAATGCAATGAATAAAAAGCTTGATTATGTAACTATAGAATAATTAAGTAAATGTAATATATCTCATGAGCAGACTGTATATTTAACCAATCAAAATATGTATTTGAAAATAGATTTATCTTCTTCGAATACTTTTTCTTTCTTGGAAAATGCAACATTATTATTTTACGTGGAATTCACATGATTACCTCGATTTAAAGGATGGTGTTTGGATAATGACAGAAACACTATATTCTCATTTGTCAACCTAACACCATAAATCAATGTGATATACAAAGGAAGAAATTACACAAATATTTAATGATATAATAATAAAATAATAATAATAATAATAATAATAATAGCAAGTACTATGATGGTTCTAAATTTATAACAGATTCTAAGAATGTTAACACAAACCATCAACAATTAAATAAATCTATCACTGTATATGTATAAAATACTTGGAAAAGATAACGTTTAAATTATCTGAATATCAAAACTTTTGAAGCGGTATAATAGTTTTCAAGACAGAATATTTGAAGTTTCATGTGCTATCCTTTTCTTAACAAAATGTGAAGACTCTGAGATAATATTTTGGTAACCGACAAACACGCGAAACAAAAATTATAGAGATGACTATGATACTATATAGTATGGAACAGTAAGATTTCAATAAGTATACCGAAATCTAAGTAAAAAACCCGAGTTGCGAGAAAGTAATTATTCTTGAAAGTCTGACAGAAGTCGTAAGACCCCTGAAGCACATTTAGGTAATTAGCATTATGAACAAGCTAGATACCAGAACTTTGACTGTAAAACAAGAAAGATTGGTTCAGCAGAACCATTCTCAATGCTGTGAAGTGGCGAACGTATACTGGAATTTTTGCGATGAAAGCTGATAACATAATTGTTCGTAACAATAATTTAATAAGTACAGTAACAGAGAAGCAAAAAATGCTAATCTTATTAATAGATTGAAACTGTAATGGTTAAGCGATTGAATCAATTTGCTTTGTTGTATGACTTAATGCCTGTTTTCTGTTTATTCACACTATACAGTCTAATTCACAATTCTAGTATATGTTGAATTATGCAATAAAATTAACATCCTACCCGAAGTTAACTTACAATAATGCAAACTTCATTAATTACGGTCGTTTGTAAAAAAAGACATTAACTAATAAATTACCAAGTAAATAATCACGATGATAATCATCATCAAGAAGCTATATAATTTTAAGCAAAAAGAAAACGCGACACACCGATAATTTGGAATTTCGTAGTAGAGCAACACCAACTTCACCATATTGTAAGTTAGGATTAGATTGTATACTCAGTGATTTATCATTTGATTTTGTTTTTATGGAACTTGTTGATTTAGTAGGAGGTTGTGTATTTTGTCTAGATTCCTCATCATCCTCATTAGTATCAACATCTTCCCATTCAATTGACTTAGTTTTGTTTTATTTTGATGATCGTCCTCTGGGTAATAAAAATAAATCAAAGACGTACTTTTCTAAAAGTGTTTAAAGTATAATAGGCTTTAATAAAATATTTTCATGTGCATGATCATATGAACTATAAGTTAGTTAGGCAGTCAGTCAAAAAAGTGGAGTCTGGCACAAATGTAGATGCACTTAAAGTTTAAAATAGTACTGAAATTTAATGTCAATAAAAACATAAAAAAATGAATGTACGTAAGTTGTTAAGAATGATTTTGAAAGTAAGTCATCAAAGGTCTCCGATCACTGATCAGAATTAACACGTTAAATCCAACCTGGAAGTCAGCGCTTTCCTACATGGTCAGTCCAATAATATCTGACTTCGTAATCTGATCTAAAGTCTAAGTTTGCAACTTTGCTTTTTAATAACATATTCCTACACCAGTCACTATTGTACTTCGAAAAGCATTAAATGGAAGTGTGTAAGTTAAGCTAACTTAAACTTAATTGAACAAAGGAACTAAATCTTTATAGATAAATTATGACAAAGATTTATATTGAGCAAGTTAACTTACATGTTATACACATAGTAGAAACATTGAGAAATCCTTAAAGTTGACTATCATAAAATTATTCTTCCTTAGTAATGGGTGGTTTTTAAACAAATTGTATCTTAACTACTGAGTGCTGTACTTCCAACAGCACTCAAGAGTGACTTAGTCATTTCCTATGAACTTTGAAAGTTCGAAAATTTTATGTTTCTTGAGGTATAAGAATTAATTATGAATGGAACGCTGAGATATCAATAAACATTGGATGATTTGTCTGTTCACTAAGTGAATGACAATAAAGTAACCATCTGTTACCGCTTTCTAATTGACCGAATTAGGCATAACTATGATCACAACTGATAATATATATTGCACATATCCATAAATATAAGTATCGTTTATATTAAATTCTTTTTCATGTATACACTTACCTTTATGTGGAGATCTAGAAGACGATCGGTTACTATTCTTACTATATACACTTCGTTGATTTGGGATCGGTCGAAACGATTCACAATGATCATCCGTTGTTGGAAACAAATTGATAGACTCTTTATTATATGATTTACTGTCAATTGATTTCTGATCTAAATCATTTTCATGTTTATCATTTCTGAAATCACCAGAGTTTGGTATAGTTTGATTAGAGTATTTATTGAAGTGAGGAATCACGTCACTATCATGATTATCACAGTAATCTAAATCCAATGGAATTTTACTTGGACCTGTTCTATTTAGTGTTATAGATGTATTGTTTTTGTCATTCGGGAGTGAATAGATTAAAGTGATTTTTGCCTGATTGGATGCCAGTGCACAAAGGTCAGCAGACAAAAGCTTGATACAAAAAGTATCAGAATTAATAATAATACTTACAGTAAGAAAGCAAAAAGACAATATACATAGTCGAAAACTAACACCTTAACTAGTTAAAATAAATCCCTAAGACTGCTAGGAATGATTCGTACGTGTTCCATGGCTTTGTACTACAGAAGTCTAAGATGAAGGTTTATAGAATAAGGGGGGCTTTAGAGTGCCACTGAGATAAGAAACTGACAAATGCCAACTAATCATTGAAACCCAAGAAGCATTGACACAGTTCCAGTATAGGACTCAAGAGTATGAAATCACGGTCACACGGAGGATTGAACCCAAGAACTTTAGAGATCGTGGCGAATGCTTTATCTTTAGATTAGTGAGCGCTTGTCCCATAGTCTATATTTCTAACTGTAATCAATTCACAATTTCAAAAATATTCAATAACCCTCTGCAAGGTTAGGGGCTTGGTGAGATCTGACGGTTCTGGGTTTGATCCCTGGTAGGGTTGTGGATGCGCATTGCTTAGGAGTCCCATACGAGGATTGCTTAAAGTAGATGAATAAAACAAATTATCATAACTATGAAATACTTAGCTAAGATATTACAATTAGAGTGTTATTTAACTAATCAGCAAATAAATAATTATAGAATACAGGTCTAAATTAACAATGATTATTCGTTTGTGTTTGAAATAAAATTGATAGACAATAACAATTGTTCAGGACGAAATAATTATCAACGATTGTTTCACCCTAATACTAATTGGACATCAAAGTTACTTTATGATTTGAAAAAAGTCATAACGATACTGAACAATAATTGGAAATCATGAGTTTCATAGAAAATTTAGGGTACCCAAAATAAAATCATTCGTTTTTGCAGTTTACATGATTTGCTTGATACATTTACGGAAGCAACAAGTGGCTAAAATATAATTACCGTTTTCCAGATAACGAAATTAACAATGGACAATAAAAGATGGATAGTTAGTGCAATTCTATACGATAAGGTTCCAATCTTTAGAGTAACCATATCTTTAATCATCTAGAAGTTACTTCTTGCTCGATAAAATTGATGTTGGTTACCTAAGGTTTCACTTACGAAGCCTTGAGGTGGATAAAAAAATATTATTTCTATTTTCTACCACTTACGACAGTACAGTGTTAATATTCTGCTACACACATATTTACTTCTAAATTTAACATAATCTTATAACCTAGATAAAATACAAGTGTCTTCAAACAACTAATCGTCATATTGTGACTGAGATTTACAATATTAATTGTGCACTACTGTGTTTAACAAACAGTTTTACGAGTACGTTTTAAATGAGGTTTCAATATCGCACAAGACTATTGTTTTATGATTTAAACACCAAATAATTAAATGAATATGTATGATTGATAACATTTTCTCTACATAAATTCATTTATAAAGGGTTTAAATTGTACCAAAAGCTAAACGAAATGCAGTATCCTGTTGGCTAAACAGTATTTTAGTTCAATCTAATCTTTGAAAAGTTGAAATAATCAAACAACTTACTGCATATTCAAAAATCCTAAAGACAGTAACTGAGTTACCGAAGTAAACTGAGAATTATTTATGTGAAGTACACCAATAACATAATACAAGCAACACGAGCTAACAATAGTAACGAGAATAAGTGGTATTGGTTTTTGAATGATGTGATGTTTAGTGACTCACAACGAATGGATTTTGACAGAGTATGAAGATCTAAATTCCTCAACATCCATAACGAACATTCAACTGACTAGATCACTATATCCCCCAAGGTCTTAGTAAAAACCACATGTTCTCAGACGGCGAATCAAAACACTAGAAGAGCTAGTCAAGTACTTTGTATATTTTAGCTAAAATGATGATATACTTAAGATATCAGACAAAAAGATATTAAAAATAACAAGTCAAAATATTTAGATAACTAAAACATGAAAATAAATAATGTATTGATTGGTCATTTACGAAAATAGAAATGGCGAGAATCAACAAATCAACAGATAGTCTACAATCAGGGTCATATAAGCATATCATGAATTAATTAGTAAAGAAATACACTTAAAATGTACATAAACTAATTCCTCTAAAATTAATTTTCTGACTTTTACAATCTCTTTTTTCTTGTATTATCATAAGAAGTCGTTTAATGGTGAAACATTTGGCTAGAGATGGATGGTGATAGGATCCAGGATACTCATTTCGTCATATTTGGGACTCGTCACCTGGATGTACTTGTATCACACAGTCGATGTTCACCCCGAGACTTGAACTCAGTGTCGTTCGCTTCAATGGGAAGATCCAAACAACCAATATCTATGTGACAAAGCATTTATTTTCAAGCATGTAGGCTTTTAATTGAATCCCACAGGCGGTTCAGAGCACACATAACTCTAATGAGTTTTGAAGCAGAGAAATTAACTGCTAAATAGTACTACGAACAATCAGAATTTTGACGGTAAGGAGTTTGCTATAGTTACAATCTGAGTATAAAGATTTTAATATAGTCTGGGTAGAAATTATAATTTAAAAGAACTTTTTTATCACTAGTATAACTTGATATAATATATGACTCTAATATTCATAAACTAGATATCATTTATAGTTATATATTTTTTAAAACATCATATTATAAAGGAACAAACTAACGTGAAATGATTAAGCCCAGTTAATGAAAAAAATAACTCCCTAGATAGAATGTTAAATAGTAGTAAAAGAGTATATGTCAATCATTTGTTCTTTTATTTGAAAAGGTGGAGTTTCGCCTTTGCTGATAGTGAAATATGAATCAATAATTGATCGATTGACTGAGTAAAGGTTACATTCAACTATATTTTTATACAAATTTCTTTTGATTTACAACATGGAAACAGCTGAGTTAAAATCCTTCTATAGTTCTTCTGAGGCTAATGCCGATCCCAAGCTCAGGTAGAAGAGGAGGTTTGGGCATAAACATGGCAACCCAATCCCGTAGAAAAAACCTTGCTAAAACATACACCAACCACAAAAAATAATTTAAACCAGTCAAATAGCAACCGAAATGAAGAGATACAACCTGACGGTGCTCGGAATAAGTGAAACCCACGAACACAAGCCGGACAGAAAGGGACAGATTCGAAAGAGGTGCTGTTAACCCTGGTCATGAAGAACAAAATACTCGACACACACACAGAGAGTTGCTCAGATGCTGTTCAAAGGAACGCGAAATACACTTATAGAATGAGAATCGCATGGACCTAGGATCATCAAAGCATCCTTCAGAACAAAGGAGGGAATTGCAATGAATGTTATCGTATTAATCGTATGTCAATTCCCGAGCTGCTAGATTCTAACTGCCGATCACTAATCAACAAAGTGGACTATCTTCAATTCCTACTAAGTCAAAATATGTACCATGATTGTGGTGTCATCACAATTCAATAATCTCGGTTAAATGATTTACAGGACGACTACCCAATATCACTACGTGATTTCAAAATTTATCGTCAGGATCGATCAAACAATAAAAAGAGGTGTGGCGGCGGTGTAGCTACAACTAAAACGACTACGGAGGGTAAAAGAAAGAATGTACAAGGAGAAGGACTAAAATGGTCTGATAAACCTAGAGATTAGACGTCTCAACTCTATGTTTACTCAAAAACTCTTGTTTTGCAAAAACTCTCCAAGTATGTCGGAGCGATAATCAGATGAAGTTTTGTGACTTAAATAAGTCTTTTGTACATCATTCATCTGATGTAATGCTCCTTTCATCCACAGGTTTAAAAAATAGCTGTGTTCCTAGTTTCACTGAAACTGATGTCCGAAGATGTCTCCAGTCACTTAATTCATCCCGATGTTTAGGACTTGGTGGTATCTCAAACCTCCTTTTTTAAAAATTTGCTGACGTCCTATGTTATCTATTCACGACTATCTGTAACAGATCCTTCTCATCTAATCTCATACCGAAAATATGGAGAAAGATAAAGATAATCCCTGTGCCCAAGAAAGTATCTGGAGATAAGAATGTGAAATTTACCTCATCACCTTGTCGATGTAAAATATGTAGATCAGAATGGATAAATATTTGTATCATATTCTACAATATGTAGGAAGGACAAACTAATTAACTATGAGGTAATCACTAGATAAAAATGAATCATGATGTATATGTTAAAAATCAAATAATCAATGGTCTTTTCTAAACAAATAAACAATAAACTTGAGCATTACCAAGAGAATGTGAATTCATACTAAACGATTCAAACATTAGTCTTAACAAAAACTGCATCACGTGGCAAGCGCTAACTTGGAATTCTGAAAGGAAGCGGAAAAGAGGAAGACCAAGGAACACACTATGACGGAAATCGGAAGCAGACATCAAGGGAGGGAATAGCAACTGGAAAAGATTGTCCAGGACAGAGTTGGATTGAGAAGGCTGATGGGCGGCCTATTCTCCTCCATAAGAGGTAACATGCGTAAGTAAAAAAGAATGTAGGTATATTTAATGCACCACCACAACATATGTTGCACAGTCTTCAAAATACAACATATACATGATTAGTTATTTGTAGATCATGTGAAATCGATTTGTAAATGAATCATTTAAAATTATTTTTTTCAAATTGATGCAATGAAAAATTATTAAATAGAATAAATGCACTTAGTCTACTGTTTTTAATTGGTCCATTAGCATACATCTTTAAAGAATATTATTGAATTTGATTTTTTCTAAGGAAAGAAAAAACTAAACTACACATCGTTTTGTTTTTGTTAAGACTAATGTTTGAATCGTTTAGTATGAATTCACATTCTCTTGGTAATGCTCAAGTTTATTGTTTATTTGTTTAGAAAAGACCATTGATTATTTGATTTTTAACATATACATCATGATTCATTTTTATCTAGTGATTACCTCATAGTTAATTAGTTTGTCCTTCCTACATATTGTAGAATATGATACAAATATTTATCCATTCTGATCTACATATTTTACATCAACAAGGTGGTGAAGTAAATGTATGGGTTACATGATATCAAAGATCTTCTTAGGTACATCACAGTGTCGAGGAAGGTCCAATAGGGTTCCCCTATTCACCATATCAAACGCTTTCTCATAGTCAGGGAAGTTGATGTATAGTGACTAGTTCCATTGAATTGATTGTTCAACGACGATCCGTAGTGTCACGATTTGGTCTGTGTACGACCACTCATCACGGAATCCTGTCTGTTGATCTCGAAGTTGGGCGTCTACTGAGTCCTTCATCCGGTTCAGCAACAATCGGTTGAAAATCTTTCCTGGTACTGATAGCAGTGTGATGCCTCTGTGGTGTGATCCAGTGATACCCATGTAGCTTTGTGTATGAGTTTTTGATGGAAAGTACCGCCTTACCCATAATCATTTTGTTGAGTGCACATAGATTTGCGAATCTCTCGCCATTATCGTTCCTTTCTCCCAGTCCATGTCGTCGCACGATATCTTCATACCCGTTGTTGTCCATTCTGATTTTGGCGTTTGGATGTCTGTCCCTTTCTGTCCTGCTTGTGTCTATGGGTTTCACTCATTCCGAGCACCGTCGAGTTGTATCTCTTCAATCCGGTTGCTATTTGACTGGTCCTCTCGGTCTCCCACATTTTCCGGACGTCCCATTTACCGAGAAAAATTTTCGCTGTTGTTGATAGATGTGGTATCGGCCTTGTGACGTTCGGAGAATATCAGCTTTCATCATGAGGTTTCATAGTTCTTCCTTCAACTCACACGGCTGAGTTGAAATTATTTATTCTGGTTGGCGCATGGTTTAGCAAGGTTTTTTCTACCGGTTATGGTTGCCATCTTCATGCCCAACCTTCCTCCTTTATCTGGGCTTGGGATCGGCAGTAGCTCTTGAAGAGCTAAAGGTGAAAGTTGCAATATATTTACTGACCCGCCATTTAATTTTAGGACCTGATATACATAATTCTTATAAAATGGAATTTTTAAAGATCGCATTCACTATGAGAATGTATACTTTCGACGATATTAATATATCTCTGTATATACTGGGTGATTGAATAGTCGCATAAAGAAAAACAAATTTGAAGGCAACTCACGAGCTAATTTGAAGGAATTACATTTAAAACTAGTAATCAATTAGCAAAAAACACATCGATTTGGTTTGATGAATTTTGGAGTTTTGAAAATAAGACGAAATTTGAAAAATAGAAATGTCACAATACTTAAATGGTTACAAACAGTTGTTTATTTCAATAGAAATTTTAAAAATTAAAAAGCGCACTTTCAATCATATCCAAAATCTAAGATTATGAATAGAAATACTATTTAAACAATGAAAATACAACAGTAAACATTAATTATTCCCACTAGGGAGATTCAATGAATGTATGATAAAGACTTATGATAGCTAAGAACAATTTTTAGCGAAATGATTAGAAGAAATAGAACGACTAGATAGAGAGTAATTCACACATAAAGAGAAAAAATCAAGTAATAAGTAAATTGTGTTATTCTCTACTATATTTGTGCAGAGCTAGAATAGAAATTCAGGACAGACAAAATCTAAACATAATAACACACACTAAGTGAAAGTTAGAAGAAGAGGATGACAATGTGTGGAATAATAAAATGTTCCGAATAGCTTTGTGTATTTGCATCGCATATTCAACAGATAAGGAATATATATCTTAACAAAACATATAATCTACTATATAGAGTGATTAAATTTTAATGAAATAGTGTTACTTGATTAACTAATTCCAATAAGATTATAAAACACTGCAATGAAAGAAGTTTCAAAGCGATTTAATTATCGTCATAATCTGCAAGTGAATAAACTACATTTAATACGATTTGTTACTTTATAACTAAACAATTTAAAAATGAAGATCCAACCAATAATTCACCTATTCACATATACCTTCAAGTAAGCTACAGAAGAACAATTTTTTTCTGAAAAGTAGAAACAAAACTCCAGTGCATAATAAGGTATGAACAATCAATGAAGCTATTTATATGCCTATCGTAGAACCACCTCTATAATGGTTTCTGGAATAGTCTTTTTAAGCGTCGAAATAGACTTACTGAAATGAAAGCTTATTCAATAATGGATTACATATTAGATTATAAATAAGTTCAAATAAATTAGCTGAGTACATGTAATAAAGTTAAACATACTTTGCCAAATCTAGGTTGACCAATCGAAGCGCGAAATTCTGAATTATTATTTGTATATAATTTTAAATGTGCAAATATATGGTCTAATTGTTTTCGCCAAAAACCTGTTGAATTAGGTTTTACGAAGAAAATATGGATAGTAAAAACTAATATCTATAATAATGAGCAGTGCAAAATCATCAAAACAAACTTCACTTGTTCACAAACGATGTAATACAAAAAATATGGGTATATGTAGAATTTAGTTGACGAAAGAGTAAAAAATAATTCCAAAAGTCCTAGACTATATGGAAAAATATTAGATATTTAATGATTACCTTTGAAGCCTTAAATGATAGCAAATTACAGAAACTACATACAAATCTAACATAGAGAGAACTTTCAATGCAAAATGTTAACTGTCCGAGAAAATATTGGAATGCCGTTTAGTCTGAGCTTATGGGATTGAATTGAGAACTAGGCAACTGATGCCAGCTTTCAATAAGTCTTTACCTGATGTCCATTTGTGATAAAAATTATCACCGAATACTATAACGACTCAACAAAACTAAGTCATGTCCATTTACCGTTCATGAACATATGAACTGGTAACGAGCTGATCAAAATAATTTCGATATGCTACACTTAGTTCAAATGAGTAATATTATCGTCTTCTTGATCAGTATAAAAATAAAGCAATAAGTAACTAACAGTAATTTCACTTATCATTTCTATTTAGTTGAGTTTCGTGTTATCCAATTGTAACGGTGTGAAGACTTAAGATTTAGAAGTAACAACAACGTACTGTTGAAATTATGAACCGATTAATGTTAGACCACCACCATTGAAAGTTTGGAAACACTGAACGGCAGTTTTGTCTTAGTATGGTACTTTTAAGGAGTGCGCATCCACGACTCCGCAGACGGGAATCGAACCCTAGAACTCCAGTCTAGCGTGCAACATTCCATCTATGACCTTAAGACCATCCACAAACTCTGCTTTACCACTATCCATAGTCTTATTTTCGAACTGAATTTGATCCTGATTTAATAATCTAGTAGTGGATGATTAGAACAGCTTTCGACCGCATGCCCTTCCCAAGGTCATCGGCAAATGATCTGATATATTGTCTTCTTAACGTGTCGGCTTACTTCGTTTCCGAGTTCTTCATCGTTCTACTTGACATAGATGAGATGTGGAAGCACTTAACATCTGGTATAATAAAAACAGAAATGTGATAAGGATCTGACACACTTAAAACATATTTCTCACACTGGTTGCAGAATTCACTAGAACCGAATATTTCGTGAGGACAGACAATATCTGTTATGACACCAAAAGCGTAATCAGTTGTGAACTCATATTTAATGAAGACTATACTAGAAATACATAAGTCATTAAAATAACACGCATTTGATGAAATGGCATGAAAACTTATCAGAAATTAATACATCTCTCTAACAATGCCTTTTAATTTCACCCGACATGATTAAACTATTAGGATAAGCAGCATATTACACGAGAACTTTTGAAATTGCTTAACGTTTACTTTGCTAAGAACTTCATTGCCCTCTTCATTAACCATGGAACTGTCCTTTAGGTTAACAAATGACAAATCGGCTGGATCAATATATAGATAATTTTTGAATGTGATTTGATTGTTTGAGCATGTTTCTTCAGCAAGTCAACGAGCAGTAAGTGAGACCTATTGAACACATCTTCATCAAATAGGACAAGTGACATTTCTTCTGGCATTGAAATCGACATTTTACACTTGTTTGTTGCAACAGTGAATTAAAAAAAACAGGAATTCGGTTATAATTAAAAACTGAGTTGAGGAGTAGATGGAACCGAAAATTGAGTTGCAGCTACAACCAAACTGTTGTAATAAACAAACTGAAAATTGCGAATTGACCCCGTCATCATAGTTAAGGATTCCGAAGATATAAGAGTGACAGATATAAGGCTACACAAGGCCTCGAAATTTAGCACATGAAAACAAAAAACTATCCCTAGTGTGTGACTATCTCATACAAACTGGCAAATGCCCGCTCTACCTGGAACATACACTATTACTGTTAACATGGTCACTATCAAAAGCAAACTCACCACATTTAAAAAAGTATACACTGTTTAAAATACAAAGCTTACCTCTTCCGGGACTTATTGCAGTAAGTGTAGGTATTCTGTCTCTCAGTTGAACATCAGCTGACAAACGATTTTGAGCTAACTGATCTTGACGTCGTAGGTTTGTTGAACTTGGATAAAATATCCCATAAGTTTGGGTAGAAACATTTGCGACTACAGGTTGTAAGTAATTGTGCTGTGAAACCGACTTTTCAGATTGATTTCCGCCAATATCAAATTCATGGTGACCTAAAATTTAGTAATTCGAATCATAATAATAAAAAACCAAAACAAATGTTTTAGTATGCCGAAAAATATTGGGTAATTACACGTTACCTTATTATAGAGATCACTTGGAATGTCTATTTATAATCTGTTACATAAGATTAATTCAAAATATCAAGATTCGTAGAACATATCACGTTTCAAATTACCAAGCTAAAATTTACTAGTTAAGTATTTTCAGTTGAACAAAACATTGTAGAGAAATTAACGTGAATTAATCAGATAATCAAAAACCATAAACTCGTTACACTAGGAATATAGGATAAATTAAGATATGAGTGACCGATAAAGTATCCAACTGAAAATTCAGGCAGCTAATGTGATCAACTCACAATGGAATTTGAATAAAAACGTTTATGAACGTCCTTATTCAGAAGACAGGTGTTCTCACATCGAAGATAAGAAAGACATCACATCTGACAACTCTGATTGTTAACCAAGAACTCATAATATTTCATTGACTTTTATGCATCTTATGAACAATGTTTTATTGATCCAATTATTGATTTGACTTGATTACTTAAGATGTAGCAGAAGTTTTTGCAAACCACAAAATATATAAATGGAAAATTTACTAGTAAGCATTTATAATAACCGAGTAATACACGAAAGTATTATACAATAGTCCGATCTCGTTGATAGTACTGAGCCCAGAAAAAAGCTACAAGAGTATTAAATATAGGATACCTTTCATAATATTGTGATAGTAATTTTTCTAGTCTGTGGATGCTCTGATACGCTCAAAAGTGGAGTCAGATAGTTCTTTTTCTTTGAAGTATTTCATGTAGCCATTCACTGAAGCAATGCGAGAGGGATCGTAATATAATAAACAAGCTCAGATATAAAAAAAACAGCCGGATGAAAAACCAACAGGACTGTTAAAACTGCCCCCAAAAATGAGTTATGTATCCCTCTCTAATATATTGAAATCAATTATTTATCATCATAAAATTTTTTTTAAAGATTAGATGCAAATTTATCTTAGAACCTTTTATCTGTTATATAAGTGATAACTTAGGAAGCAAGTTAGCTTTTATGACATGAATAATGTAGTTCAGATTATTGCATGAAACGATCATTAAAATATTACTTATACATAAGTGAATTTGCTCACTTGATCCATTAATCATTGGAAACCATCCAGTAAAACGTGGAGGAGGCATCAAGTTTAATCCACAATAGGAACAATAATTTGCTTCTTTTGGATTCGGTAAATCGCACTTTATACAATGAATAAAACCATCTCGTAGAGTGATTTTATTTTGATTATCTTTTGGAGTGTTATGCAAACCAACAGATGACATATCTCGAATCGAATCTGAAGAATTCGAGTTGAATAACTGTCTGTTACCATTAATATTATCAGAAGATTTCATTTCACCACCATTCAGTGATTGTTGATAGTGTTTTGGTACTTCTAAACCACACCAATCACAATATCGAGCATCAAGATTATTTTCACGATGGCAATAAGGACAAGTAGAAAACGTACATTTTTACACATTTCTGGATAAGGTAGGGGAGGATGAGAATCAATTGTAGACTGGAAACCTGAAAGAATGACATTAGTTGCTCCTGTTGCTAATTTAGCTTCACATATTATACAACTTTTTTACGTCAGTAGGATTCATTGTTTTACATGTTGTACACAAACGAGATTCTTTACGACATTGTCCATACTTCTACGAAGTTATTTTTACAAGCAGAAAAGACGAAAATCAAAGTTTAATATTTAAGAATGTTAGATTAACATCAAGACTATATCAAAGATCTTTTATAGTATGTTTGAATTATTTCTAACCCATAAGACAGGTTTTTGAAACTAAACAACGCATCGACGTAATGATAGTGCCTACGGCAGAGAAGATTATTAGAGTAAGATTGAAGCACACAAATTAGGTTACGATTCGTTGAGCCAAAGACGAGCACTCATGACAAGACAAATTTGGTCACTTTGCGTAACAAGAAATACACATACTTAGTGAGCGTTATTCGTATAACAGTAAAAGTTAACAAACAAATAGTCCGATCACCCCGTAAAGATAGGTTTGTCAAGGGCTATGACCTCTCGGCATGAAATATTTCAGGAAGGCATTTGTACGGCAAAATGTCGTGGTTCATAGTAATCCACGATAAATAATAATTTATTATATCTTACAGTATTTCATTCACACTACAGATAGAGTACTAAACCTAAAATGATATCCAAGCCTAAAGAGGATACATAAAAGCTCTTACAGATTTTACACTAATGGTTAATGCATACGTATTTGTATACTTACGATATTCACATTTGTGAGGATCTGTTTAAGAGCCCTACATGATTTCTGACTTGAATATGCTTTATAAGAAGCGTCTGTGATAGCCGATTAAGATATTTTACATTAAAACATACTACTCATAAGTAACAAAAGGTGTAAAGCAAAACCAAACGAGAATTCTAACAGCGAAATTGGAAGAAACGAACATGAAAACACATGATTCCCCATTTGACCTAAAGTTCATGTGTTATAGCACAGAAATATTTGAGAACGCACATTATTGAAAAATTCCCAATGAAGAAGTAACCACCAATAAAGGTTCATTGTCACTAGAATCATGAACCGACCAATGTTAAACCACCATTGCAAATCTGGAAGCAGTGGATGGCGAATTCGTCATAGTATGGGACTCTTCAGTAGTGCGCATCCACGACCCCACACGCGGGATCCGAACCCACGACCTTCAGTTTCATGCGAACGCTTAACCTCCTGAACACTAGTCCTAGGTCTGAATTCCGCGTGTGGTATTGTAGATATGCACTGCTGAGGAGTCCCATACTAGGACGAACTCGCCGTCCAATGCATCCAGGTTTTATATCGTAGTCTAACATTGATCGGCAAACGGTTTCAATGAAATTAAACAATCTTCACAATTCAGAACATAAAACGTTTATTATGTTCTAAGAGCCAAATATTTAAGTGAATTGAGAGAATAAATCCAGCAGATGAGTTGTAATAAAAGAAGGCTCAAAATAGTAGATGCAGTCACTACATTACATACCTAAATAGAGAAACAAAAATTGGCAATTACAAGTTAGGGAAACGTTTTCGGCAAAATAAAATTAGTTAAACATATGAAGAAACGTAAGTTTCATGTATGCTAAGTTAAAAAAATTAAATAAAACAATCATACCTGTATCTGTAGTGGACTTTCACAAACTAAACAGCTAGTTAAATTTAATGGTACATGCGCTTTACAATAAGGACATACACCAATATTTTCTAAAACAGAAGAACCATATTTTTGTGTCGACAATGTGGGTAGATTTACACCGCAATGGAAGCAAAAGTTCTGTTTTCTACTCACTGGCCTTGGATGGTGACAATTGGGGCATCTGAACGGTAATAATAATAATAATAATAATAATAATAATAATAATAAACATGCTGAAGTTTATGAGAACCAACAAAACTTGTATGTTGAAATCTGTATATTTTTTGCATAGTAAGCTCAACAAATAAAAGACTTAAAAACTTTAAATATTCATTATTACTTTTGGACGAAGAAGGAAATTGCGAAAATGTTAAAACCATGAATGTTAAACAAATGAAGCTCAGATATGTATTTTCCTTGAGATGTGTAAGAATAGGTACCTAATAACGGCAACGGATTTGTTATTTTTAAGCATTCTTTTCAATTAAAAAATATAGAAATGAAATCTCTAGATTACCGAGGCTAAATAAATTTAGTATATAACACAAATTCATGTTGAAAACGTAGAACGCCATTCATATCTAACCTACCTAATTTGAAATCTTTTAATTTCTCTTAACAATTCCGCTTGAAAAAGGTTGCCAAACGTCGTATAATTCTTATACCAAAGACTGATTGAGAAATCGCGAATTAGGTTTATAACACAAAACACCATTTAATTTCCAGAAAAAATGTTTGCGAAGTTCTAGGTTTTAAAATTATTGTGTTTGCTATTATAAGTTATGGTAATATTCTTAAGAATAACAGAAGTTTAGAAATGCTTTCACAAACTACAGAGAGTTAACATGTCATTCACCTTTTTAAACGAAAAAAGTAACATCATTATATTTCACTCTTCTGCAATAGAATAAAATGAAAGCATGCCAAAGACAATTTCAATAACACGTAGGATGACCGTATGCTTTTTGAAGAAGTAATCATTACAAATCATCCATATTTCTTTCATATCTAATTTGAATACAACGAATTGTATATTACTAATCATTTGTTTACCCACCTATGATATTGGAGGACAGTCAAGCAACGTCTAGAATTTTCCGAAATCAGTAACGTAAACCACTGAAGGTCAACTCAGTGGTCTAAAGGTTAAATGCTCAGTGCGAGGTCTAAATGTTTCTGGGTTCAATTTTCGGTAGGATAGTGGATGCACGCCGCTGACGAGTTCTACACTAAGGTGAAACAGCTGTCCAATGGTTCTCGGTTTTAAATGGTTGTTTAACTACAGTCAATTATTAAATTAAAAGGATGTTTTATTACTTATCGGCCAAGATGACAGAAAATAATTAAAGACGACTTAAATCATTTAGAAAATATTTTCACTATCATTAAGCACTGTTAGCATGGTTACAACATAAACTAAACAAATAAAGTTTGTTTATGTTGACTTGGTAACGAATGTTATGTCATCTGAATGATAAAAGATTTAATTAGCTTGTAAGTCTGGAAATAAGTTATTGATGGTCGGTGATAATGAAGGATTAACATTCACCTGATTATATGAAATACGCTGCACGTACAGAAGTTTTTTTGATTAACAGATATGATAACTTGTGGTGACATGTAACTATTTCGTGCGACGCATAAACAATAGATTGCTACAATTTATGTTTAGTAATAGTTATATAATGACTGAGAAATGAGCCAGAACAACAATGAATTACGAAAGTATTACAGGTAGTAAGTAATGCTAAGTGACTAAATGGTGGTCAGAATCAATGACTTATGTTTACAACTGGTTGTTTCACATTCTATTTTGGTCGCTCACATAAGTAATATTTTCTAAGTGTTTGGAAAGTAAATGGAATACATTTGCTCAACATAAAACATGAAAGTACAATGCAAAAAAATGCTTGAAATTGATGTCTCACAAGCTTTCTATAAATATTTTTGGAAATCCATTTTGTACATTGACTATATAGATGTGATCTAAGGGGTGTTGAACTATTATTTAAAAAAGTGAATGAGGGGAGAACTTTTAAAAACACCTAGAAGAAGAGTTAATGGAATCAAATTACCACTACGGTCAGTAGTATGTGCTCCACTTCAGAACACAAAACGGGATGATCAATTACGCCACCAATGATGTTTTCTCTCAACCCTATCGTTTTTTTATTAAGTGTCCGAAGAATTCGAAAACAAGCTTTTCAATAAATATGACTAGATTTCTTAAGTGTGATAATCACGTATAACAGCTATACCGAACTAATGATGAACAAGCTGAAATATATTTACAAGTTTACACAAAAACCAAACAATCAAAGTGAGTAATCACAGAGGAAAAAACATTAAAAACACAGTAGATAAATTTTAACTGGTAGTGAAATCCGGGATACGCGTTCTATTCCATTCAGAACTTCTTAGCTGGACGCATCTGAATCCTGGGACAACAACTTACCAAAATTCAGTCTCGAATATCGTGAAGATAAAAAAGTGTGTAGAAATAAATCGAAAAACTAACCGTAAAATATCTGTTGTCTGTTGTAGTTTATTAATCATATGAGATGAAAGCTCAGGGTATTCGTGAATCAATGACGATTTTATCGACATATTCTAAAAGGAAAGTAGAATTTTAAAAAGACTATTGCTACTCTATTAATATGAAAAGAAAATAATATTAAGAAAAAAGTGAATTATTTGTATTTCATTCTTTAATTCAGTTGAATAAAAACAATTGATTTCATGTAGTACGAATTAATGAGGAGAGTCTGGAAAACTTAAAATGATCTTCACTGCAAATCGATCTCAGTAGACTAATATTACCAACCATGGGAAGTAAAACACTATATTTTTTTGAAAATGTTCATTCAAGACACATGAGAAATTTACATAGACATAATTCTCATGAAAACAATGACATGATTTATTCACGTTATTTTTTTTGCGAATTTATCTTTGTTGGTTTTTAGCACTATTTATAGATTCTTTAAACATTTTTACATTTAATGGTTATAATATTGCAGAAGTTTTTGGAACTGAAACAATTTCAATACTTGAACGTGCAACCTCATCTAGGTGTAATTAGAAAATAGCAATTTATAATTATTATATTGTTATTAAAACTAAGTACCCAATCATTTGTGGAACCATTTAACATTGTAATTAAATGTCTAAATGTACGTGGATTTGAGGCCTGTTTTTGGTGTAAATGCTAATGATGCTACCAGGTTGGTTGAACTGAAATGGGTGGGAATGGGTTCGAAGCTGCTATTAAATGGGCAAAAATCAAGCGATCTAGTCACTGAACTACTATTTGAAATTAAAAATCTGCTTAGCCATTTCATTATATCTTTAGAGACAACAAAGGTTATATGAATACGTTTTTAAAGCATTTCAGTGGAAATTTTTAGTTGAAAATGATATGAATTAACTGTCCAGAATTCGTTTTTTTTAGGGGGAAGATAAACGTTTAAAGCGTTTTATTTAGAGTATAATACTTCAGATGTATTTTAGATGTAGTATAGCAGAACGAGAGGGATTCAGGAATCATGTTTCTGGACAATATTTTTCCATTTAGTTTCTATATTTATTTATTATTCTCATTGAATCGAATTCATATTTTGAATATGAGAAACTATTTTGGGCCAATAACACTTGCTTAAATTCACAGATTTCTAAAACTTTGTTAAAGAAAAACATTAAAGCCTTAAAATTTTATTTTTAAAGCTTAAGAAAACACCAAACTATTTCAACTCTAAAATAAAAAAGAAAGAAATGGTTCACATTACATTTTAGTTCATCCAGTCAATCAACAAGGCAGTAAATGGGAAGTAGTTCTAACAGGTTAACAGGTTACACCCTTGTTAGGGGAAATAAGAATTACAATCACTGATTTCCTGTTACGTATACGTGTACACTTGGATATTGCATGAATTTGTGTAGATTAAATTCATAACAAAAAAACAACAAACTTTAATGGTTATCTATATCAAAATTTCAGTTTAGAAAAAATATCTTTATAAGTAATCATTTGTTTTCCCTTTTTTCTTTCTCGTAAATAAAGGCACTAATCAGTTTTTAAATAATATTATGATTTTTACCAGTAAAAATAAAGTGGATGATTAGGCTTTTTAAAATGATTTTAAGCTTCGAGGTTCTGAACACACATTAAGAATAGGATAAGGTGCGGAAAACACTCCAATATCATTTAACAAACTGTAGACAATGAGTAAAATTTATGATAATCTATTTTAAATTATTATCGATTTAAGTGTAATGTGATTCATTTATCGGGTAAAGTTTTATTCAACCAACTTTGAACTACATTTTAGTTGTGTGAAGACTAGAGACGCTACTCCGACTGCTCAAACGAAAGTAAGTGAATCAGAGTTTCAGCCAACAACCTACTGACTGAAAGCTGAGTACCTTAACCACCACTCTTTATTAGATCTCAAGTGCTTCAGTTTGTTTATATGTTTTCAGCATAAATACATTATAAACTTTTTGGAGGTAGTGAGTTTAACAGTTAATGAATGCAAATAAGTAGGAAATATTTAAATGTTTCAAATAATTTTCGGGTTCAGTTAACTGACCATCTAAATGATGTAGACCCTAAAACTGTAGGTAGATATATAAAGTTTATAAAGATAAGTTTAAGAATAAAAATTAACTTAAGAAATTGTTCTGCAATTATCTTGTCAGAGTTCAATATTTGTATTTAAAAGTTATACAAATGATTGCAAAATTGATACTCATCAATTGGTTTTGGGTTCATTAACAGTATGTATATATTTGAATTAAGTGTTACTTAGAACCGATCGAAAAATATTTCATATGATTAATTATTAAAACTGAGTGCCAGTAAGTCAGTCGAACACAACGTATAACCTGGCACATGTGTACATCAGTTCAATTTGCCAAACTCCATTAACACAGCGAGAGCAGTGTAGAGGTAGTAAGTTTTAGTGTTGAAATTGAATATGTAAGTATAAGAAACAAAATGAGAGATGTCGATACAATTTGGGATTAATTAGATAGTTAGGGTACAGGAAGACGTTGTATAAAGTTCATCCGAACGCAAAAATTATTTGTGTGAATTCCTATGATTTTTTGGCTGTATGTAAAACACCGAAAATTTAAAAATACAGCAGATTGATAGGTAACTTTATACGCTAGTGTTACTCCAATTTAGTGTACACTTAAATAAATGTGCTTTGGATTTTGTAATTAATAATGCTAAACTAAATGCATATCTCTTTTAACTAATAAATGGTTGTATTTTTGAGCATGTAATAAATAACTCCGTTAATTCAAAAACACCGTAACAAACATTTACAATCTTTCCACCATTTTTATCCCCGCTTTTTATCAAAACTCAAAATTCTACTTACTCAAAGAAGTTAAACGAAACTAATAGTTGGACTGACCAAACAACTGCTTGTTTTTACAGTTACGTCAACTAATGAATACAATAACAGATTGGTATTGGAATCTAATTCCATAAATATCCGTCTTTATTTTCCTAAACACCTTCTAACGTTTGTGTAAACACATGTTTAGACGGTCTAATTCGATTATCATAAATTTAGATGATCCATTTCAGCATGTTAATAAGTCACGATTATTACTAAATTAAATAGACCATCTCTCATAGGTGAATGAATAACTTACAGAAGCTTCAAGTGGATATTGAATTATAACGTTCCCAAATTTTCTGTAGTTTTTTTTATTAGAATTGTATGTTTGTGATAATATAAGACTGAAAACACTTCATAATCTTTTAAATCACATATTTAGTCAAAATTTCTTGTTTCGCTGTAAACACTACACAAAGTAACCTACCATATTAAATTATTTTATCAACAAGAGTTCATTAGAATATGATCCCTCATTTATGCAAAATGAAATTAAAAATTTCAAACTTGTCTAGTACAGTTTGTGTAAGACTTTACTGTTGGAGATACTTACGTCGTAAAAGTTTACATTTCATAAACCTCAATTGGAAGGAACAATATAGAATAAAATATTTCCACCTTGTTTGGCAAACTGGGACCCTTTTAAAAAAGATATGATTAGGATAAGCCTGAGTTGTTGTAGGATTGTAATCAGCAGCACTCAAGAAACGAACTTGGTGCTCGACTGAGCTATAAAACTTTTATAAAAGTCGCGATTTTATTTCAATCATTGTACTCAAGCAAAAAACTCGTTATTTAACTGGCGGACGAGGGAAATCATTTCACAACAACTAAACACTTAAAGATCTATTATTTCGCCGTCGGAATATAAATTGCATCAAAGCATATTCCGTACAGGACTATGTTGGAGCACGCTGATTGGCTATTTCCTAACCCATCAGTGCTAGGGAATAGTTGGAGAAGACTAGAATCTTCTCATGTAAAACCATAAATATACTAACGGTTTTCTTATTGTGCTTCCTATTTCTATTCTATCTGCCCTTGTTACTTGGACTATAATTTGGTTCCTGTTCAACCGTGTTCTGATTTGGGGACTTGTCGAGTGAATCGGTGTCCAGGGATACAAAGCAATAGGAATAACTCGGTCGTAATAAGAGAAATTATAACACCTAATAATTGACAATGTAACCAAAAGGCCAGAATAAAATCAAAGATAAATAATTACAAATTGAAGTTAAAAAGAGAGGATAGTGTAATAATAAAAACAACATGGTTACGGTTTAGAAAAGGAAACAGAACGTACATTATTCTGGTTGTCTGCTGATAATACAGACTCATTTTTCAAATTAACCTGATTTTCTTGATCTAAAATAGTGTTAATGTAAATAAATCAGTAAATTTAATAGTCAGCAAAAGGGTTTCATACATGTAAATATGATTATCAGTTATGATAAATACTAAAGACAACTTTTTTAGCATTACAAGTATATATATTTGCACAAATAAAATACGATGTTATTTGTTCAAAGTCTGAAACGAATTTTTATTGTTACCGTAGGTTTCTAGCTCTTTAAGGGAGTTAGAATTTAGTTATCCTCAATTCAGGTTAGATTCAAGTAAATATCACAAATAAACAACTGAGCCAATTAAACCATAGCTAATAAATCACTCTGCCTTCGGCTAACTTAATGTCTATTTGTAATCTATCAAGTTGAATATTAAAGATTAACTAATGAGGTACTATCATATATTTATCTCAGGTGATGTTTACATGTTATTTACTCGAAATGATCCGTTAATATTCTCTTGGATGCTCTTTCGTTCTAATGCACATCTAATTCACATCAAAGACTCGCATTTTTTGATGGCTCTACTTAACAAATTGATGTTATTGGAAAATTCCACTAAATTTTACTAAAACCTGAATCCTAGTATTATATTACTTTTTGTCATAATTTTTCAACCATATACAGTCAGATATTGTTTAAGAATACATCGGTTACTGTCGGACCCTTTTCGTATTTACCAGATATGAATAAATCCAAGTATATGTAGAACAACAAAAGATAATTATCTTTAAATAAACAGTTTACTGGCACATGAATATGATTTTTTTAAAACAGAAATCAAATGGAGTGAGGCGAAGAACCTATTAGCCTAGATATTCATTAAAAATGCTATAGATAAACCTCGAAAGTATTATTAAAAAGTCAAGACAACGGAACAGCATGTGGTTGAACAATATAGAACACTACCCCACAAGTGAAAGTTACGCTTCCTACATAAAAGATCAATTAATTAAGTTCTACTGTAACTATACACAATCAATACAATTTCATATAAATAACAGCATGTACCACCGCTAACATTACTATGACAAAAATGTAGGAATAATGCTGAGAATAAAAGAAATGAGGTGAGCAAAAAACAGAAGATAAATTCCACATAACTAGAAATATTAACTTGACTATCAAGTAAAAATGCACGGAATCAAGGACCAAATTATGAAAAGAAAAATCCTGGTCACAAAGAAAAGTCTCGTAAAAGTAGTACAAAGTAAAAAACAACCATAGGTAAGAACCGTTTTAGTCACTGAGACTAACCAATTGATTGTAAACCAGATGTAAAATCCTTGAAAGATTAAAAAGTAATACGTATTATTAGGTTTGCTTCAGCTGAAGAATGACTAATTTTACGATTTAGAAAATTTATCTCAATTGTTTGAAATATAAACAGAAATAAAAAAGGCGAATATTATTATGGAAATGAGTATGAATAGATGGGTATACTGTATGGATTACATGGCCTAAAACCAATTTTTATTTCAAAGAATTCGTAAAAAATAAAAAGCAAGATAAAAAGGTAGCTAGTTTGCAGCTTTGTTTTAGTCAACTAATTCAATATTGAAGGACTTTAAATCAAAAAGTAAAAGCAAAAACATGTGGACCGGACAAAACCAACTACCCGGTTTTATTATACGTTTTCACGAATGAGTATTAGCATTATTCAAAACTTTTGAATAGTGGATAACACTTTTTAAATATATACTTCCGTCTCGTAACTTTATGTAATCATTTACGGCTAGTTGAGAGGAAAATCAATTATTGAGAAACTGTTATTAAGATTCATCTATAACTGATACTCTGACAGCTGAAATTAACCATTAGAACTAGTCATTTGCTTTTTATACTAAAGTCATTTAGCTAATCAATAAAAGTAGTTAACCTTAATCCAACACAGAACAAATTCCTAAACGGGTAAATTAGCAGAATTCAAAAATCCAGTATTTAGTAGAAAGGTACCTTTAGTAGACTTCTTGATTACATGACAGCAATTTTTTTCTGAAGAACATTTTCGGACAGTTTCATTATCGTTCTCCGATAGGCGACGAATAGACTCATGAGTGTCAGGACGATCAGCTCCCGACTGGAAAAGATCAAAACGAAAAGGGTAATTTATAAATAAACTAGGATAAATACGCTTATATCAAAGGGAATATTTTAATGTGTTCAATTGTTGAGCAAATTATAGGTAGCATTTAGAGATACACTTATTAACCCTTAGTTGCATATCTAAAATCATAGTATCAAATTTTAAAATGTGATAATAAAAGAATTCCGTAATCTAGGTATTGTAGATTTGATCACAATCCATACAGCTCAAACAACTAAGACTAACATCATTAAATATTAGTGTTGAATGCCGATGATAATAAAACCCCCACATAGCAGGTTTTAAAAGTACTTTGTCAACTGCTCGAACGATCAAACAAACTTTGTGTGATTTCTTCTTATTTACAGAAGTTTAAGGGGAGAAAAAACACTTCATAGCGTTGTGATGTTCTTTGAACATACACACTGCAGAAACGTTTGTTTTTGAATTCTTCATTTAGTAAGTAATCAAAAAGTCTGTTGACGGAGAAACTCAGATATTTATTTACCGTAATATTACCATTGTGCACTATCTCATTTCAAAATAAAAATTTTACTAAAAAATCCTTTCAAAAGAAGGGTAACGTTATGAGAACAAAATGGTAGCAAAATAACTCTGCGCGTTCACCGAAAGAATGAAACGAGGAAACTGAGTGATCTCTTCCGAACCAATCTGAATCCGTCGATACTTTTAGGTCAGCAGCAAGATATAATTAAATCTAGTGCAGCAGGACAAAGTCTTGATTAAAACATGTCTAGGACAATCCACACAGAAGGACGTTGATTAGTCCATTTCCAAACAGTCGGTATTAATGGATGAGCCGAGAAGACCCTGAAAAATCCTAGCGTGAGTTTTATATAAAGGTTACTTTGTAGCATATAAACATTTTCGTTTGCTTTCGAATATATCTACGTTTCCCTTCAAATCACGTTTTGATTTCAGATAGGTCGGGCGAAGAGAGGTTTTTACAAATACTACACCACAGAAGACATAATACTTAGTGTCCTTGATGGCAAATCTTGTTGAGTAATACAAACCTACATGATTACTAAGCTATAAAAATATAATTACGAGTACGAAAATTCAAAGGGATGACTGTATGATAAAAAAATTAATGGCAATAGCACAACATATCCACAAACATGCAAAACTAAAACTGTGATGACAAAACAGACGATAGAGAATTTTATTCTAGTCTATTTGACCGAAAAAGAAACAAACATAAACAAAAATAGGTTGATAACCATCAGCATATGATAAAAACGTAACTTTTAGTTAATTTTCCAAGCTAAATGAAAATAAAAATCATAGTTAAGTGTTTGAACCTTTCAGTTAGTAATGCTGAGGATTGGATTTTCAGTCGTCTTTTTTGGTAGATTTGCGTCCTGAGCGGATTGATTCACTAATAGTTAAATAAAAACGGATATAGGGTAGCAGTGGGATCCATGGAGAGCGTTTCGTCCCAATAGATACTCGTCAGTTGAATGCACTCATGCCCCAGTGTTGTTGTTAACTCCTGTATTCTACTGCTAGCTACTATCAATCTTTACTGAAATGAAAATAAATTTCAACTAAACATAAAGGGACGGATTCCTACTAGGAAGATAAAAATACTATGTCAATAAATTTACTAAATTTAAAAAATAACACAGTATCTATCACATTAACATTATACGAATAATTTATTAAGAAATAAAATCGTTACCAATTGTCTTCGACGTTTAGAATCGACTAACTTTAGTTCATTAAGAAAACCATAATCATCTCCAAAGTCATTTTTGTCACTAACATGAAAACTCTTGACTTTGACCACATCGAATGTTTTTGTAACTACACTGCTTTCATTACCATTATCCCTAATATATTAACAACAAAAACAAGTTTAAAACAATTAGTCCCTTTGGTGAATTTCGATAATGTAATAAGAAGACGAAGATTATCAGAACTATGTGATACAATAGATATATCACATAGTTCTGATAATCTTCGTCTTCTTATTACATTATCAAGAAAAACAAGTTTAATATGAAGAAACGATGAAGAGTTAATAAAACTAATATAAATTCTAAACACTTGATAATAACTTGTTACAAGCTAGGAAACAGTGTTCATTATAAAGCAATATAGTCGGGGGTGAATAAAAACCACATAGAACTAAATGATTGACTTGGACTAGCTTGTGGCTCTTTTTAGAAGGACCCACCTATCAATACTGAAGCTAGTTGGGCTAGAAAATACATTAAACATACGCAACAATTAAAAAATGGATGGATTTTAAATTGGATTCCAGAAACCGAGAACAAGGACAAATAGAGAAGAGTTAGTCATCAGCTTCTGGGACAGACTATGGATACAGAATGAATATTTTACAGGACGATTTAAACTACCTAGGAGCTATTACTGGCCATTTATCTAACTTCATTATTATGGGGTGATAATGCTAACAAACGAACAATGAATGAACCATGGACATAAATTCTCCGTTTGATTTCATGTATTGTACTTAGGCTAAACCCGTTTGGGCGACAACATTAATAAAAAGCTGAAGATGAAATAGGTTGGGATAACTTATTTCAGGTTTTCTCAGACAGACACCAAGGTAAGACGTAGAGAAGGCGAGTTCGCTTACTGAATTTTGTGAGACGTGACTCAATAATTATAACCGGTAAGGAAAACGAGCTAGGCACATGATGAAGAAACTGATGAACACGTACGCACAAGTACGCTCACATATGGAAACGATCAAGGTTAAAAACGAGTATCCAACAAGGTCAAGTGAACATGTGACTAATGTCCCAAAAAGAAAGGCTCAACTCATTTGTACAAAATCTAGAATAATCAACACAGGGGTAGCATAGTACCAAATCCTACAGTGTCACGCATTGAAAACAAATACGAGTGCTAGAACTAATGGGGTACAGAATGATATTACTTTATGAGCGTAACTTATAGATACAACTAATATTCACAGAAAATTCGTTATATATGATGGAACTTATTTTAACTAAGAACTATTTGTAAGCCTGATTTTTGATATTGCTAAGGCTAGTTAGTTCGGCTTTTAGCGTTTATATTAATTTTTATTCCATAGAACCATCAATCCTTCTTCGTCGGTTTGGATGTTAGTAATGTGAGTGATACCTTGTTTGTTCAACTGTTATTCTAAACACGGCCTGCCCAACACTATCACAGACGTATAAACGATGTAGGAGTTTGTATCCACCTATGAAACCACACTTCATATCAAAAGGGAGGAGTCGACAAGTGATAACTAAAATGCCGACAGAAATGCGGGATTGGACAAAAAGCAAATTGAACTAAACAATCACAAGTACAAAAAATACTATGTTCAAATTAAGATGGAAATAAATTATGGATATATATATATATATATATATATATATATATATATATATATATATATATATATATATATATATATATATATATATATATATGAGTCTAATTAGGAATAACCAATCAAACCAATGAACGGAAACGTTACATTACTCAATAAAAAAAGATAAAACATATACACAGGTATTTTTTATTACCAGCCATAATCAGCTGGATGCGTTACAAAGCAGACGAAGTGTTTTGGATATTGTGTGTGTTATACTTCTTGATTGTGCGTTTATATCATGGCGATATAACCATTTCATTAATTTTCAGATATAAATAGTAACGAGAATTAATGGAATAGCAACACATCATGAGCTAACTATGGTTGTAATATGTGAAGCATTAGAACTCATTTAGGTAACTGATCAGTAACGCGTGTCCTGCGAGTTCCAATGTTTACAGATTCGATACAAAGTAGGGCTTTAATCACATACTATAGAGGCTACAAATAAGGATGCAAAACATTTGTTTTTAATGGCTGGTTTGTGATGAAAACCACCTTCAAACGAAAAATTGTTCGATACGGGAAGATTATCTAATTTCCTTAGTGTTAAGATAAATTAATCTACAAAACAGCTTTTAAAAACTTACAGAGAAACAGCCACTGCTCGAACAGTATGACATCCAGGCGGTAAAGTAAAAGGCTTTTGGAATTTATAAGTCCCACTGTTTTGGAGTTCCTTCCTACTTTTTGCAACCGTTGGTCTATTCCCATTGATTGTAAAATAAATAGCTACATCTGGCGTATCGCAAGTAAGATCCAGATATGTATTTGTATCCAAATGTGATTTGTACAAGCCTAAATCTGGGCTTCTCAGGGGGATAACAAGTGGGGCACGAATAGCTCCGGCAGACATGTTCTGTAAAAAAATTTTTACCATTACATAAATAAAGATCGAAAATTTAGAAAAATGGAATCTACGCAATAAATCTTTATTAAAAATTAGAAATCTGAGAAAATAAAAAGTGTTAAGTTACAACCAGTGCGAAGATAAGCATTCGGCAGTCCACGTGTTACAGCAAATCCAACACCAGTCAAGTCCACATATTGAGCAGTGAATATGATTACAACCACCATGTTTTTGAGTAGGAGACTTGCAACCCGGGCAAGAACGACATATTTCATTGATACATTTGCGACTTTCTGCATCATCTACTCTTAATTTTAATGACTTCCAAACAGAGTTGGAATTCGCAGAGGATTCGTTCTTAGAAGACTCGTGTTTTTCTTCGCAGAAACACTTCAGAGATACGTTATTTGGGCATTCAGGATCTAACTGGCTGCAGTTCCAACCACACGAAGAACAAAATAGTGACCCACAACCAACAGGTGGGAGACAGTGATGCCAAATGCCAGGAGACTTTACATTACCTCGAGAGTCCGTGATTTGCCAATCTACTCCACATGAAGGGCAAAATGTGGAGCCTTTAGAAAGCAAATACCGTTTAACCGACTGCTCTTTATAACGTGAATAAAATTCTGGACCTAGAATGCGGAAATGATGAGGATCCATAACAAAAGAATTGGGACATCCAGCAGGACAAGTGATAGTGTATCCAACGTTGTCGATGAAATGGAACATGCCAGAGTAAAAATACTCTTCTGCGTACTTTTTGAAGCATTCAAGGCAAAGAGAATGCCCTTCCTCCTCGCAAAGACATATTATAATCTCTATTTCCGAAGACATACACGCAGCACAATATATCTCCATACTATTTTGTTTTATATGCTTCAAGAAAACCGTTGGACTATGAGAAGACATAAAAGTGCATGAAAAATTTATCTTAGCTTCTGCTGAATTGCAGCTATTAGAAGAGCACTTTCCCCTACAGATCCTCGAGTCAACGTCCTGACAAACAGGAATAAATGCCGATTGGCAAAGCGAACAACTAAAAGTCATCAACGCAGGACGAATAGATTCACATGGATAGCAAAAAACAAAATAACGTCTTTTTGGATGGCGCTCATGGAGATACAGATAGCAGTTAGTTGTAAGATTATAATCTAGTAGTTTGTGATCCTCATGCATTAATTCATAGCCACGAGATTTCTTGTGTGATAGACAATAAACATCTGGATTGAGATTTAAATCCTGACATATTCTTTGCTTTAAAAAGAGTACATTCCATTTATCGTCTGCATCTAAACTATTTGCTACATCATTATAAACAACAACTAGGAACATAACTTGTATTTCCCCCACAAACAAACACTAGCTCTAGTAATATAAAACAAACCATACAGTAATGCTTAAAACTTTTTACTTTTGCATAGGGTACGGAAAGTCATGTCCATACACAATTCACTTCCTAGTGAGCTTCTGCTCATGTTTAATCTTATTTTGAATGGGTTAATTGAAGATCCTCACAATATTCTTCTTCAGTCTTCAGTAATTAGGATAGTAGGTTGATTAACCTGTATTAATTCTGACACTGCTTTCCAATGATGGTCCAGCTCCTCCTTGAAAGTATTCACTGATGAGGCTGATACCACTTGTTCGGGTAAGGCGTTCCAGTGATTGACTACTCGATGAGAAAAACGGGACCCCACTCTAAGTTTATTACATCGCGGTTTATGAACCTTCTTGCCATGACCTCGGAGATCATTAGTGCTGGAGGGAGCAAAAAGATAAGACATATTAACACCCAAATCATAATTAAAGATACGAAATGCCAGTATAAGGTCACCTCGTGTCCTACGATACGACAAGGGGAAAAGATTTAGGCGTTTTAAACGCTCATCGTAAGGGAGTTTAGAAAGACCTTTCACTAATTTCGTTCCCACACACTGGACACGCTCAAGTGAGTTAGTATCGTTTACCAGAAATGGGCTAGCTGCTTGAATACAGTACTCTGAGTGTGGTCTTACATAGGTGGGATATAAAATTCGAGACGTTTCTTCGTCAAAAGATTTGAACGCTCGGCGGAGTGACCATAACGCACGAAAACCTTTGACAGCGGCTGCTTTGCAATGCGTAGTTGTTTTTAAATCATGACTTAATACTACTCCTAAGTCTTTATACTCTTGAACGCAAGGAAGAGGTTTACCCTCAATAGTGTAACGGTAACTATTACCGTGACCGATGTGCATTAGTACACTCTTCCTAGCATTGATTTCTAAGCCCCACTCTCGAGCCCATCTAACTAAATCGTCTAAGTCAGCTTGAAGATGAAGATGATCCGCCGCACTTCTTACTGTTCTCCAGATTTTCACATCATCCGCAAACAATAATGTCGATGACCTAAGTAACAGCGGTAACTCATTAACGTAGGGGGGTTGAGCGAGTGAAAGGGACATGTTGAAGAGTGTCGCAAGCGGTTTTGAAATAATGTCCGCAAGAGATGACAGCAACCGTGGATGTAACCCGTCAGGGTGTCTTACCAGGTTTGAGGTTAGTTATCAACGGAAGGACAGTTTCCTCAGTCACCTGTACAGATTCAATGGTTGGTATCTCGGTGTGAGTGGGACAAGTATTTGTTACAATAAACGTAGAGAAGACTTCGCTAAAATAGTCTGAAAAAGTCTCAGCTTTTGCTCGATCTGATTCAGCTAGTAATTCTGAATTTTCGTGTAACAGTAACGGGGGAATACCATCACTACGTTTCGTCCGCCGTTTAACATACGAAAACAATCGTTTCGGACAAGTACGGCTATCATATACTAACTGTCGTTCGTAAGTGGTACGGGATTTGGCTATGGTTTTCTTACAGATATTACGGAATTTTTGGTACTCACGCTTAAATGGTGCATGACCTGTCAACAAGAATAAGTCCCAGAAATGTTTCCTACGCTTTAACAGCTTCCGGGTTTCCTTATTAATCCATGGAGGGCAATGTGATAGCTTACGTGCTGACCATGGGATAAACGGCGACGTTACGGACTCGAATGTAGCCTTAAACTTATTCCATTCATCTTCGATCAATCCATCCGCGTCGACCGACCAATCAGTCGAGATAGCACAGTTTCTGATTTCCGGAATATTAGCTCGCCAGATATTGGGACGGGGTGGAGCAGATACGAATTGTATACCATGTGTCCTAAACTTAAAGTGAATTACAACGTGATCACTGTTCACTAGTGGAGGAAGGTGCTGAATATCAAAGACATCCTCAGAGTGGTGGGTGAGGGCGAGGTCCAGCAGTGACGGATCATGATTGAAATCAATATGTGTCGGTTTTGTGATACATTGTACAAGTGCACACTGAATAACGGTAGATAAAAGGTCGCTATCGAAACCATTACCTGGAGCTGTAAGCTCTATCCAGTTGATATGCGGTGCGTTGAAGTCCCCAATGATGAGACAACATTCTGCCATACTCCAAGAACAGATGTGTCTTAGGATAAAGTCGTCAGCAAGACAAAACGGACTACGGTATATTCCCCCTATAGTCACTAACCCATTTCTAGATTTAATCTTACAACATGCAACCTCACATGTGCCACTGATATGAGCCTCCGATATGGTTGATTATATACGAAAGTGATCCCTAACGTATAAATTATACCTCCCCCTTGCGACTTGAAACTCTATCACTTCTAATACAGATATAGCCTGCAATGAAGGGAGAACAGTCTATATCTACGGTGAACCAAGTTTCTGTAACAACGATTATATCGGGACATAATTCTTCCACCATCAGACTTAGCTCGGACGTTTTATTTCTAAGACTACGAGCGTTCGTGTAGCACACACTTAAGGTGTTTTGGAAATCATTCGTTCTACCCATACAGGCCTCGGAAGCATTGGCTTCCAAGACCTGACTACCCGAAAACCCTTAATGGTAAGGTTATTTTCGCCATTTAATTTGCGAGTCCTCAACTCCGTAAGAGCATTCTTCCACTTGATTCGATCCTCAAGCGGCCAATCTGGTCGAATACGGATATTTGAGTCACGAGTTTTTGGTGCTTTTTCAATAATATGTCTCTTTCTTCGAAACTCCCGAGAACCAGCTTCAGGATTCTTCTTGGTTGGGTCTCGCCTCCAACCCATTTACCGAGTCGTATTACTTTTGTAATATGTACCCCTGAAACCTCTTCAGGTAGCACATTTCTTACCACAGACTCCATGTGCATGTCTTCTAGCAGAGTCGTTATATTTCGACTCCTCTAGATTCCAAATAATTAAACTGAGAAGGGGTTTAGCTTCCTTTGAAATTGTGTTAACAGCTTTCGACCGTGACGACAGATCCTGTATATTAACTACTGGTATCTTACGATTGGCTTTTATTATAACAGAGTCCTGTGATTGACTCACAACAGTGTTAGACGAAGCTTTACTTTGGAGCATTGGCGGATTGGTCTAAGAGTCCACCAAGGACTTATCAAGTAAAAAATCATTAGTTTTAGCTGTTATTTGATTTTTCTTCCCACTCACGCCAGGATGGGTTTCACTCTTTCCATCAGATTTTGGTAGTGCAGTGGTGACTCACAATGAGAGTCCATCAATGAGTTACCAACTACCTGTGTACTACCTGCAGCTTTTTTTCTTTCGTTTCGTTTCCGACGTACCGTAGTCCATTTTTCATCCCTCAGGACATTGGGACTATTTGAAACAGTGATGGTTTTATCCAGTTCGTCGGTTCCCACTAAAGGTGCATTGTCATCAATATCAGTACCAGGTGGTATTACTCCGCTTGTTAATATTAACGGCGATCTCACTTTTGCGTCGGCCAGAGTCGGTTGTTTGAGACGTCGCATAACAGCAGGTACTACACTGACACAATCGTCCCTGTCAGTGCCGGTACTGTCAGCGCATGTGTCATCATTTTCCTTGCAGGCCAAAGCCAATAGGCCCATAGCCTCCTGAATTTGTACCTTTATATCCGTACAGCAGAGCATACAAAGCCAATGTGAGTTAGGCTTCGAGCATCTTTTGTTTGCCATCGGACTTAGGCGTGTACACGTTTTGTGGTACCACGTTTTACAGTCATCACATTGCATTCCCTCCTCAACGGGGGACAAACAATTTGGTTGC